AACTCCACTGATCTTCAAAAGCACTCCAAGCACCCCATGCACAGGCACACACATGCTTCACGCATAGATATTCAAACAGACGCACAACTCTAAACGCCACACCGTCACCTACAGATGCAATCATCCCTCATATAGATGGCCTCACGCAGACATGAAAACATCCATATACACACACTAAGAAATTAAAAAGCAATGCAAACCTGAATTGGAAAAAAATGTGATTTGATGTTACAATGTGTTTCACTAATGAGAAGCTGATGATAAAGGATATTGTAGAATATAGATTACTAAAAATGTTTATTTCACTTTATTCTCTTTTATCACAACATACAGAACTATTTAAAGAACCTATATTATAGTGTGATACTGAAAATAGTGATATTTGTTTTTCGTCTCTCCTTTGGAGGGGAAGGTGTAGTGGTGTATGTACTGCATGTGATTTTCACGTTCAAAGCTTTATGGTTTCCATTAACAGGGATTTATGCCTGTGCTTTGACAGTTATGACAGTTTGTAGATTATTGTTATGAGAAATGTAAGCTTATTATGTGTTGTGTCGTACCTGCCCTGTATCATATTGCTATGCTGTTATTTTTACTTTTCAGTCATCTTATGCGGATCTAGTAATAATGCAATTACATGAGGGACTGATAACAAAAGAGTTGAAAGAAACTGAAAGTAGCTGTTTCTGAACTCTTTAGCACACGCACCCACACACCCACGCACGCACACACACACACACAGTTAATCCCATACAGTTTCAATAAAAGCACACAGTTCACAGTAACGCTTTGATCTCCTGTCTATCTCCATCTCACGCTGTTTCGAGACATAGGTCCTGCAGTTACATAACGGCCCTCCTCTACACTTGGCTCTGACCCAGTGTTGATGTATGTAGCCTGTGTGTTTGGAGCAGTGTTTTCCCTGACTTACAAGTGAAGCCCTCTACCATGAGGCACTATCAAATCAAATCATTCCAAACCGGTTCATCTTCTCCAAACATCAGCCAGAAATCCAGCAGCTTCATCGTCTGGATAAACAGGTTTGGAGCTTTGATGGAATGGCCCATAAAACCCTCCACAATCCCTGCTTCGCTCTCCCCACCGAGCCTTGAAAGAGTTCAGCAGATCCCAGTCTAACACTCATGGAGGAAAGAAGCTCTTGATGTTTTTCTGTAACGTATATGAAGAGGCCTGAGTGGGTTTTGGAGTCTGCAGGGACTGCAAACTGCAGTTTCCTCCAAAACTTATTTTCCATTACAAAATATTTGCATACTTTTTACGAGACAGGGCTGAGAGGTGGCTGTGTCAAAGCGGGCACCCCTCTAGCAAATCATATGGAGTGCTTCATAAGCAATCCGAGAGTCTTTAATTTTGAAATCACCGAATGATGTAGGTAGGAAAATCTCAATTGTCAAAAGTGATGTTTCGCTGCCACCTACTGAGCAGTTGAGGTAAAGCCTCCTTTAACATCAATGCATCTTTGAGAAGCCAACATCAGGGAAAAGAAGATTCCTTAAGCACTAGGAAGTTGATTGACTGATTAATTGATTGATTGATTGATTGATTGATTGACTGATTGATTGATCGATTTTTACCTGAATTAATTTGGCTTTAGGGAAATAATCACATTGCCTTGAGCCTTGTCCAAAACACTTGTGATCCCACGAAACAGAAGAGCTGGTGTCTGAATCTGTTGCATCTTAACCAGTGCTTTTGACATTTTATCTTATAACACAGGTAACTGAATAGTCTCCATTCTGAAGAGCACAACACATCTTTAACAAAAAAAGGAAAACAGTTTCCAGCACATACTTTTGTAGACCTTACACATCATCTCCGCTTCACACAAACTGAAACACTACTTAGAATTATAATATGAAGAAAAGGCAAGGTCCCATAATTATGTCTTTACAACAGACAATTATGAACCTTCAAACACTTTCAGAGCAGCAGCCATAAGGTGGCACTGATACCCTGAGGTTTGAACTATTCACTTTTATACAGTGTATGTAAAACTGATTTTCTTTTTCTTTGAGGCTGCGATACCCAAGTGTATTGTAGCCTCTGCTTCTTGTCATTCTGGCTTGTGTTATTTCATCTTGGAAATGTTTAGAATTTCCTGAGGAATTTGTTCAACTGGACCGTGGAGCTGTGTCACACTGAGGTCCGGCTAATGAAGAGCAAAGGACAGAGGTTAAGGGTGAAGGTGCAGCATGTCACAGCAGCTCGAGGTCACGAAAAAAGAGGAAGCTGCAAGACAGCGAGTGAGACGAGCCATGGTTTTTAGAGATTTTTGAGTGAGTAACAGGAATAATAAGTCTTCTAGTGAACTAATGGAACTTGACATGTCTTGAGTACAATATTCATATTGTGTTCTCAATAGCTTCCTTCTAAACATAAAAAGTGACTAGTCTGTTATGTTATAAAAGGATAGAGTAAAAAGGACTTGCTACAGTTCCGTCTTTCAGTGACTATTCTTTGAGCGAGTTACTGTAACTGACTCTTGTGCTTGACACTCTAGTTATTTTGTTGTAATGCATTACATCGAGACAATGTCGTTTTAAATAAAAGAAAACAGTTGACGTATTTCCTGTAGCGAGTAACTTTATTTTGCCTTAACAATAAAAAGACAGTTATGATTTTTTTAAGACAGCAGCCATACATTGGCTAGAACAGAGAAGAGAGAAGTCTTTGTATCTTTATGTTCCAGAAGAAGTTCAAGGTCAGATTACCCCCGACATTGAAGAAAGACCTATTGCCTGTTTTAGCATAATACACTGTTCCTGTGGTCTAAACATACAAATAAACCACTGTTTCTTGCAAAAACGATGAAGTAGCAGAGTTAAAAGACAGAGAAGGAAAATGTGAAGCAATGTATCTGATAAAACGACAACACAGGAAATTTAACATTCTCCAACACCAGAATAGTGAAGGCTTGCGAGACAAATAAATCAAAATAAAAACCATGTTAATGATCTCATTCATTATCCTCACTACTGACACAAAGTTAAAGTAACACATCTCCTAACATCCTGAGAAAATCTGCCCTCATAATACTGACATCAGTCATTTTGCACTCTTATCCCTTGCAGACCCGGATCCTGGATCAGCGCGTGAAGCCAACAAGGACAGGGTCGAGTGTAAACATTTTCTCAAACTGAATCAGAGGTCAGTGCTGTTACCTGTCTCCATGTGAGAGAGCTCCTATTATTCAAGGAAAACACCACACACTGAACAATAACAGAATGATGATGAAAAAAATTAATGTAGAAATTAATACACAATACAACACCCAGTGGATTACTTTAGTGTCTTGAGAGATGTATAAAAATACTCTCGGTGGACTGTAGTCAGAACAAAAATAACAACGGCTGCCATTGCACAAAGGACAACTTGATAGCGAAACAGATTACCTTCCAATGTCAACATTACAATCAGTGTTCTTTACAAGAACTTAAGTAATCTGATTATTGTGAACTTTAGAAGTAACCTGATGCCATAAACATCATGTAGACACTTCCAGGTATTACGGGTTGAGGGACTTGAGAAATCAGATTTCACATCATACAATAAACTGAGTTTCTAACAGGGTTTTTTTTACAAGAGCACAGGCTCATAACCAAAACTTATTAAAACTTATTAAATAGGAAAAGTATTGCTGTGACAGAAGTGCAGAAGTTGAAAAGATCATATAACTCATAGGGCACACACCGACTGCCCACCCCCATTTTTGTAGCTGAAATCAGCTAAATCCTAACTCAGACTAAAACTTACACAAAGACAAACAGGTCTGATTAAGTTGTTTCCACAGTGGAACAGCAGGTTATTTGTAAATCGCTTAACACATGCACAGTCAGGCTGCAGTATTTCAAATACATTGCTTATACAACTAAAATATGCCACTCAGTTTTAATCTTATGGTAGGAGGCAGGGGGGAAACTGACTAGCTGCATTTAATTGCAGGTTCTACAGCAATCATGTTAATGCAGTGCATGTAAACAAATTCTGATTTCCTGTTATTATTCTGTCTCCCAATAGCAGTGTTTTATTTGTGGATGTAATCATAGAGAACAAAAACTATTTAAGTGTGATTTTGCAAAAATCCAACTCTGCATGAAACCCCTAAAAATCCCATTAAGCAGCAAACAGACTGATGAGCCCCAATTTTACTTTCGACAACTACCTTACCCCAATGAGGTTCCCTAAAAGCCTTGCATGCGCTTGCAACTACACAAACAAAACAGAGAGAGGATAGTGTTTTTGTTTTCCCTGGTAGCTTTCCACAGGTAGCAAAAATGGCAGTTGGTGGAACAAATGGAGAAACTGTTGAAACTCTACCTGGCAAAAGACAAAGAGCCCTGCTGTTTGAGGGGGTAAAGAAGGTGAAGAGGGAGAGTGACAAAAAACTCTCTGTCCACCAGCACACTGATGTGGCAGCCCATCGGGATTTGTCCCTTTTGTCCCTATGGCCAGTCTGACTATGGAGAGAGCTCAAAAGAGGGTTCAGAACGGACATTCAGTTGGCTTTATTTCTACCAAATCAGTAAGTAACAAAACCTGCCTTCTCATTAATACAAGCAGGTGCCTTTATCATAGCACCAAGATCAGATTTAAATTAGGATTCTTATGGTTGTTTCTTGCTTTGGACAGTAGCCAGGTTGATAGCAGTAGTGATGTTGCTAATGCTACCGCTAGCAGCCAACAATTGATTCATTGTCCGTTTGATAATCCAAACAAATAACACGTTTCCTGGCAGTGGCCATTCTAAAATGAACAGTGGTGTAATGAACTATATTCGTCTTCGCAACAGCGGCACCAACACCAATGCCACTTGTAAATACTGAGGGGGGAAAGTTGTCTATTGCCACTTTATGCTTCAAGATAAAACTATTTTAAGACTAATAGTAAAGCTTTTCAGTGTTTTGTTCTTTCAAAATAAATTTCAATATATTTGTCAGCTCATAAAGGCCTCAAGTGAAAGGAAAAAAAGTTTCACAGCATAGAGGAGAAAATGGCCTGGAAACTGGTGGAGATGTGGGATGAGGGCCAGTAGCTTTGGCGAGGGTTGAAAACCATGATGGAGGATAAGAATGTGAGGTCTCTAGGATTGTCCTGCGCTCATTGAAAAGACGTGCTCTTGATGAGAGTTATATGCTCTTCATCTATAGCTTTTATGACAGTGACCTGAAAAGGGAAGAGAAATATAATATCTGAGACCAGGTGTTCCAAATTACTAGCTTTCTAAATTAACTTGCTAAGAGGTTTCCATCTGTAAAGCATTATTAAAAGAAAGGATTTATTTTAAATTCATACTAACATTTTTTCAGCTGACTAGTTCTATTCTACAAAAAGTTTCCAGGTGCCCAGGGCTGTCAGAGTCAGTGAGACTGGCGTGAAAAGGTATTATATCAGATTTTCATTGTAATATAATGTTTTCAGTAATGCCAATACATAAACTGAGCAAGTAATTAACAGCTTTTAAATTTCTAGTTTTACCTCAAAAATAAAATTAGGGGAAAAACATGTACTTTCTTCCTTAAAGGAGTATGAAAAGCATGGTAAATCAATCTAACAGTACTGTGAGCAAACAATAGTCCACCACAATAAGCACAAAACCATGAATGAAGAACTGATGACCTTAGAATAAGCCAACTGTTTGATGCTTGCACATTGTAAAGGGCAGCTCTTGGACACGGTCAAAATTTAGGTGAACATATTAAAACTGTATGACTGTATGGGAATGTAACACATGATTACAAAACTAATTAACTCAAATCAGGCCACAGAAACTCACCAGAAACTCTTCCCCACTGGCAAGCTTCTTCTCGATGTCTTTGCCCAGGTCACCATCTGGCAATTTAAGGTCCTCTCTAGTTTCTCCTTTGCCATCCATTAGGACCAGGAAACCATCACAGATACCGATCACCTGTGTAAACCATTAAGATCGTCATTGTAAAAATCAACTAATTCTAAGTGCTCAGTTTCTACTGAGTGAGACATGGATTCAGCTGAGAGACACCTCTCAAACTCTGGCTTACCAGTAAAAGACCCTAATTCCTATCGCTTAAGTGTCATATTTTATGAGAGAGGAGGCTCTGCTGAACACAGTGATATACAGCATTTGTGGTGTCAAAAATGTGGGAGGTACAGCAATTTTAAAAATGCCCCACTTCCTGTTTTCCTTCTGCTTTTCTGGTCGGTCACTGCAGCAGTTGGATGGTGCTTCTGCCACTTTGGAGCTCGTAGTCCAAATTCTGTAAGTCAGTGCTTTGGTAGTCGCCATGAGGATGAGTTGAACAGAAATTTTTCAAAGCAGTTTATCACCTTCTCCCACTGTGTGTGATGTCACCCATGTCTTGCCTCTGAGCATCCTGTCCATTCATTTCTATGGGAAAAAAATTCAGACAAAATGTTGAATATTTCAGAAATCATGAGACATATCGCTGAGAAAACTAATGCAGCTTATCTCCTGATCGACCCGCACATTTTGACGTTTGTGTGTGTGTGTGTCGACCAAGTAGCAACTAGCCGTTTTGAAGCCTTGAGTTTAGATCAATGGACGTCGCCATCTTGGTTTTTTGGAGCCAGAAGAAACCATATTTGGATGAGAGGGTGGAGCTAGGGAGGAGTGAGGGGTGGATCTGACCTGTGTCACCGAGGACGCTAAGTACGCCCACCTTCTGTGATGAACAGTGCAGGACTAGTTAAGTGCCAAAAAAGTGAGTTGAAGAAAAATAATTAGGAGAAAATTTTGAACGTGAGAACAACATAGAGTTCCAATAACTAACAGAAATATAACAGGCTACAGTGAGCAGTGTACAGTCACTTGGCTATTTACAAATCGGGTGTTTGTTTTGAATGTACTGTCTGGCACAATAATGATGCACGACTCACGATTCTCTCTGACCAATCAGTAGTCGGTAGTATTTTCATTTCACCTTTTGGTATTGCCTCAGTTCACTTGGAACCTCGGCGAACTAAATCACAAAGGTGCCCCAAACTCTGCATTCCAAAAAGTGCACGAGACACTATTACCTTGGCATACACCTGCCTGCCAGTCTTAAGAGGTAGACATGTCAACGATCCTACAGGGACGTCAGCTACCTTACTAGTTCATTACCCTCTGAACAATGGCTGAAGTTAGCGTCACAGTGGATAAGCAGCTCAGGTTACAAAGCTAGCGAACAACAACATCTATGTTGCGTGGCAGCTGGGCCAGATGTGCATCTTCCAAAAACAGTCACCTAAGCTTCAGGTTCCACCTCGTGTATTTTCTGTCATCGTTAGCTAAAGTCAGCCCGCTAACACGTCCCACGCCCATTGACACTGACTGACGGTATTGTTGCTAATGTTAGCTAAAACAGTGTGCTAACTTCTTTCAAACGCTCACCAAAACATCTTGTCTCTACTTGGAGGTTAATTATTTACTACCGAGACGACAAATCAGTCCAAGTATGAACACATTAGGTAAGGCGTTACCACACTGCAAAGACCACAACTTTCTTAACGTTAGCTAAACTGTCAAAATGTTATTTGAAAGTCCCAACATTTAGCTTAACTTGCATCTTCTTTACTGCAAAAAGGAAAAGTCACGTCGCATGCGATATTGTACCACAGGAGGGGCAGAGAGAGGGAAGGTACAGACCGACCTGCGGGAGGGGGGTGGGCAGTCGGTGTGTGTGTGTGTGTGTGTGTGTGTGTGTTTGGTGCGTGCGTGCGTGCGTGCATGCGTGTCGACGGTGCAGCGGCTGTTGATGGGACGTCCGCACCGCCGCGCCACTGTGATAGGGGTGCATCCACAAAACAAGTATATCTATACTTTTGATACTTAAGTTGTTGCTATTTTACTCAAGTATCTGAGTAGCCTACTAATGTGACAAAAAATGTATTTGTACGGACACAAATTTCAAATTTTTCATGTTGTCTAGACTATCCATTTGCCCATCTTTTTAAATGTTATATTATATAGTTGCATTAACTCATATGAATTCTTCCATTTTACACAGAGGCAAACAATTTTTTTTTTATTAGACATGGAAAGAAGACAGTTCATTTTCGTTGTTTCTCTTTATACCATCAGAACACAAACCAGCAGATACAGTACTATTTTATCTGTTTAATAGCCTATTTGTAATGAAAACATGTATAAGACAACTATGATGACACAAAATACTGTAAGTTTTTTTTTTTATAGATTGTTGTTTCTACTGGTGTTTTCTTGTGACTGTTTAGCTCAGGAAAAGGCAATGTTTCCTGGGAAAGGCTGACTCTGCCAACTTGTAATTAGCCTTGAATTTGTCCTGGAGCGTTGCTGGGAGCTGTGTAGCAGGGAATGTGTCTTTGGGTAAATAGACCTGTCTGAAAACAGTAAACTTCCTCTAGTATCAGTTCACTCATCTGCTCACTCTATTTGTTTTCTACATGGGTTTTCTAAAAGCCACTACCAAGGAATGTGGATGCCCTAATACTATTGCACTCTAACTACTTCAGGTAAAAGTCCATTGTCAGTATATGTACACTGCAAGTTTGAAGTTTCCACACTCCTGTAAGTTGCAAATTGGGTCAGGACTGGCTTCCGAATTAGGTCTGATGTCACAAAGTCATACTCATACATACACGCCTTAAAAACTCAGATACACATACACCGATATGCACAGTCAGGATCGAACCTAAAGTTACAATAAGCAAAATACATTTTTAAGTGGATGTGGGAATTATGTTATTATTTCAAGAGAGATAATGGAGTAATTCCATGGATAAATAATATCTGTATGTGGTAACCAAAAATCACTAAAGAGTAATACTTTATTGTCTTGTTATTTAAGTATAAACAGCTTAATTTCCTGGCTGAATTAATTGCACTCTATTGTTTCTTTGCATTTTAGTGGTAAACCTGTAATATCTTAATTTGGCCACTTGAGGGCAACAACAAACTGAAAATATCTGGCTCTTAAGCTTGTCTCACTCTTGTTTGACACTGGGTAGGTAGCACACATCATGTTTTTAGAGAGTATTTACTGAAAACAGCTGCCTGCTATGAGAGTAGTGCAAGTGAACCAAAACAGTAAAGCCCATAGGTAATCCTGTTGGTTAATATTAACATGACTACTTGTTGTAACACTGTATTTATAAATGCATTTGAAATACTGACCATTTGGCACCCCATATACAAATAAGACTTCACAAACACGCAACTGTTTTTTTATGCATCTGTGGACGTTTTGAGCTGCTGCAGTTCGGTATTGTCTTTGGGGATCTGTGCCAGCTGTTTCCGTCCCTTCTGGAAGGCAGCAGCAATCTCCTTAAAGGTTTTGCCCTTGGTCTCAGGCACCCGAAGATAAGTAAACACAGTGAAACCAAGAAGCAGCACAGCAAACAGGATGAACACATAACAACCCAGCCAATCCTGAAAATAGAAAAGAAAATTTAAAAAAATGAAAAGACAGAAGTCTGATTTTGTGTGAATGAAGGAAAGACATGTTCCACAAGTTTACAGTGTGTCCTTTCTGCCTACCTGTATATATGGAAAGGTCATGCCTATGATGAAATTGCTGGTCCAGTTGCAGCAGCCAGCGAGAGCGATGGCCGCAGGCCGAGGTCCCTGGCTGAACAGTTCAGCCACTATGAACCATGGAATAGGACCAGGGCCAATTTCAAAGAAACTCACAAAGAGGAAGATAGCTGACATGCTGACGTAGCTCATCCAGGTGTAGTCATTCTGCCAGGAGGAGTACATCAGTCAAGACAAAATGATTAAATGCTGGTTGAGAAATATCTTGTGTAACAAAGATGAAGTGAAATGGTTGCAGGTTTTTAAAAGGATATTAAACACTTTTGCTCATATTCATAATCTAGCTTTCCAGATCTCAAGAACTGACTTTGATGCTCATATTGAAAACTTATATTGAATATGTGACGAATAGGAATATTCTCAAACAAGCCTCACAGATGTTACAGTGAGAGCAACACAACATTTTTGGGGAAAACATTCAGAAATAGAGGAGCTGCTAAACCAATTGAAATTGGGCTGCCCTGTACTGATTGGATGGGAGTTCAGCTCAAGTTGGTGACAGTCTAAAGCTCTGACGGTCGATTGAACAAACCTGGAATCGGAGGCCCACTGTCATGGCAACTGCGCAGCAGCACATCCCTCCCAGACCAGCGAGAGTCAGAGTACGCCTGCCAGCCTTGTCCACCAGTGCAACCTAGAACACACCGTGCACTGTTTATCTCTGTGTGTGTTTCAGGGTATGTGTGTAGAAGAAATACCAGCACAGGGAAATGTATAACGTCCACATTTGTGTCTGCATGTGTCTGTGAGTTTTGCATCTGTGTAGCTACTTACAGACACCATAGTGAAGACTGTGTTGATAACCCCGACTCCTATAGTGGCGTAGACTGGCTGAGCGACACCAGCCCCAGCGAAGATAGACGTGGAGTAATAAAAGATCTTGAAGACAAAACAAGTATGAATTTTCCATGAACTGAAATATAAAAGAACAGTTTTTGTGTTTGCTTTGCTTAGGGCACATCCCATGAACTGTACACTTCTATTCTTTTAAATGAAGAAGCAAAACATTTAGCCACTTCTGCCCTTGGTCCTGCTGATAGGGCACATACAGTATGTTCTGACAATGAAACCATCATTGAGAATAAGAATGAAAGACAGGGAAAGGGCAAGTTGAAATTAATTTTCCACTCACAGCGTTGATGCCAGACAACTGTTGGGAGAGGTGCATCATCAGGGCAACAAACAGCTGCTGTCTGTACACAGAGGAGCGGATCTTCAAGAGAGTACAAAACAGCAAAAGTATTGTCACTGCACTGGTTTTTGAAAGCTCACATCTCAAATACACATAAATTATTTTTTAACTTATAACCAGGTGTTGAGTGTATTTCTTTCCTGTCATTTGGCTTTATTTAAAACTAATTAGTGTATGCTAATTAGAGTGTAGTCACTCATAAATGCATGCAATATCTAACAACATCATGTTTGTTTCATTGTCTGCTGTTATACTTGAAATATGCATTTGCTGCATTTGCCGTGACAGAAAGTACATTTCTCATAAATTCAATAACCTTTAAAACTAAACTAAGTTATTATATCGTTTATCTAACTAATGATTTAACATTAACTGTCACCGCGGCGTTATATCAGACAGTCAGTGTACTTTGGTTGCTGATTAATTTGGACAGTTCAGAAGGTGTCAGTATCCGCCCTGAGGAGGAATGTAATGCAGCACTTATCGTGACTCCTCAGGACTGTTTTAGTGTAATGAGAGTGTTCTGCTGGCTCAGGGAGTTTCAAACACACAGTTAACTATTTAACTGTAAAATAACACATCTGCAATATTGCAAAGTTTAAAGAAAAAATCTACAAGAGAAAAGATTTACATAGTTGTAAAAATATATGTCCACTTCTTGTATATGAGACCTACCAAAGAAAGGATAGAGATCCTGGGCTCCTTGTCAGCCTCCTCTTTCTCTCTCCGCATCTCCTCCAGATCACAAGTTGCATCATACGCCCCCTTCAGACGATACAGACCTGCAACAAAACAGAGAGTGATGGGAGACAAGAGTCTTTATTAATGATTTATTTGCAGTGGTTTTCAGACCCTTTTTAAAAAATAAATAAATAAAAGTAGCAGTGCTGTAATATAAAGATGCATAAAAGTATTGCTTTCGAATATTTAACTTAGGTAAAAGTATGCAGGTATTGTGTATTGCAAAATGTAATTGAGTAATAGTTCTGTATTCTGGGAAATACACTTCTTTGATTAGTTGCTGGGAGTTAGATGAATAACTCGATACCATTTCCATGTCTTTATGGTAAATATGAAGCCACAGTCAGCAGTCGGTTAGCTTACTTTAATTTAGCGTAAAGACTGTAAACAGGGGGACACACCCAGCCTGGCTCTGTCCCCAAGTGACAAATCTACCTACTAGCACCTTTAAGCTTACTAATTAACACATGATATCTTGTTGTTTAGTACAAGTGAGAAATAGTTTGCCACATAAAAAGCTAATTGACATTTTTATATTTTGTTTTGTGCACAGATTAAACAAATGAGATGTGAGATGTGAGTAATGTGTTGTGTTCTAAGTTAAGCTAACTGGCTGTAGCCTTATATTTACCATACAGACATGACAGTGGTATCGAAGTCCTCATGTAACTCTGAGTAGAAAGCAAGCAAGCCTATTTTCAAAATGTTGAACTATGGCTTTGAAGTATTCTGTGTAGTCTCTCGGCTATACTGTAATTTTCTGAATGAGTGAGTGTATAGTGTTTGAACAAGAGAGCACTGGAGAGAAGAAAAAAGGATGACACGGAGAGTTGCTGTATGTAATTCTTACTTTTTTTCGCCTCTTGCTCCTTGCCCAATACAATATAAAGGTAACGCGGGCTCTCAGGGCATAGAGGCAGCAGCAGGGTTTGTAATACAGCCGGGGCTCCAGACAGACCAAGTAATACTGGCCACATGTCATCGTTACCAAGTACAAAGTCCAAGCCAATTACCTACATCCACATCCACACACACACAAACACACACGTACAATTTAAGTTATATGTTTGGTGTGTCGTCAAGCAAATATGCTGTTGTGCTTGTGTGTGTTTGTGTGAGAGCAACTCACCTGGCTGATTAGGATGCCAATGACAATAGCCAGCTGGTGTAAAGTTCCCAGAGCCCCTCTGTAAGCCTTGGGTGCAATCTCTCCAATGTACATAGGCACTAATCCAGATGTTAATCCTGAAACAAACACATCGTGAGCTAACCAACATTCACTGTTAGATACATGAAGTTACATGTGATCTATCCAAGAGCTGTATAATATAAAATATGTTCATATATGTGTATTTTCTCTTAGAAATAAAGTAGGTAGCTTTCAATCATTAAGGGCAATATTCCTAAAGTTAATGAGGCCAACTTGCCTCTTCTATAATATATAAGCCATAAACATTGGTATTTCCAATTAAATTGTGAGTATTCATTGACGGTTATAACATGCGCTTTGCTGTACCACAGTAAAAGCCCATAACAGCACGGCCTGCGATGACCATAATGTGAGGTTTCCACATCTTGCAAAGACCCATCAGCAGTCCAGCAGCTATAGCCAGAACATTGACCATTAACATGCCTTTTACCCTGTAAGACAGACACAGATAGAAAGGTGGCAGAGGCAGGTACAGCGAAAGAGGAATGATGGAATTGTGCATGTGTGTACTGTGGCATTATTCCATATTGATCCTGACTTAACTTTTTCCACTAAACCTTCATTCGTTCACTGTTGCACCCTTATTGTTTTTTCCTTCCTTTCTCACCTCCCTCTCAGGTCTCCCACAAATCCCACCAGGAAGGAGGATAACATGCCACCAACGGAGAAGATTGCCACTGACAACGACCAGTACATGATCACATCAGGGTGGTGTCCCGCCTCTAGGGTCTCTTCTTCTGTGCTGTTTTCTGGAAGGACAGCAGTCCTCTCCGACCAGACCCCCAGGGCAAGCCCATAATGCTTTTCAATGACCTATGACACAGGCATGTTTACTGATCATCAATCAGAGCTGCACTGTACTGAGAGACAGAGCGAGGCAAGACAAGAAGGTAGACACAAATATAGACAAACATACATATATGGATCCATTTTGCTAAAATCTCATTTACAAATATGCATTGTAGTTATGGCATTCCTTATGCAACATTAGATTAGATTTTTTATTTCAGTTAAACAAGAGAACAACAGAAATATATTTGCAACAATTATATTTACTTCAATTGAAAATCACTTTGTCAATTAAAATCAAAGAAATGCTGTAGCAGAGGCCAGTTGGAAAGGTGCCACTTATAAACCGTAACTCTAGCTTTGTGGCACTTTAAGGATGGTAGTGTACTTACATCACATTTGAAGTGTGCCACATGTTCATAAACTAGTGGCACGTTTGATTCATTGGCTGTGTATTTGTCATTTCTTCAACTTAGTTACTTCTAATTCCAGCATACCATATATGTTTACATCTTGTTTTGGGGAAATTTCCTGGTCTCAACATCAACACCTCCAAAGCTGTGCTGATGTACTGGATACAACCTCTGGCTGAGCTGAGCCAATGTCACATATATAGCAGCCTGAGGCATGACTCAGTGAAAAACATCAGATTTGAGCATGTCCACTTGAATCACGAGCTTAAATTGGCCAATTGTAGGACAGGTGTGGCTGAACAGAACAGAAAGGGAAACCAGAGATTCCATTCATAGCTCCATGCTCCACACAGACCGAGAAGTGATTCACACAGGGGCCAGTGAGGTGAAGGAACACCTCAGCAACAGTGCTGTTCTCTCTATAAGGAGGATCTAGTCTACAGGGGCAGTAAAAGAGAACCATGCCATCTGACCAGAGCTGGAGAGGAGGACGTCTTCGTTAGAGTTATCCATGGTGAGCACAGTGTGGTCTTTCAACAGGGACTGAAATTGTGCCAACTGTGCCAGCAGCTTGCAGCAAAGAGACATCAGCACTTGGCACATTCTGATTTGTTGGCCACTCAAAATGCTACTCATTACAGAGACTTTCAGGTAAGTCTGTTCATTGGTCTGTCAGAACATTAGATTCTCTCCGGTGCTGCAGAGGAGTGAGTATGTCCATAGGGTGGAGTAAGTTTATTTGGGCTGGTTGAGTTCCATGCAAATATCAGTATTGTGAGGCAATTAGATGACCCAGTAAGGGAGCGAAGCCTGTGTTAAAGGAGAGCCTACCTTCTGTGGTGCGTTGATGACTCCAAGACTGTAGCCATACTGCAGGGACCCCAGAGCTGCTGCGAACACAGCCACAGCCAGCGTACCTGTTAGCTGCTGCAGGGGTGAAAGGTAATCAATTTGATAAGAAGACACACACACACACTCACACACACCGAGATGTGAATGCATGAACAAAACATGCAACAATTTAACCTGCACATGCACAAAAGCAAAGACATGAGTGTGTAAACAGTCACTCAGCTCCAGTTGCATAGTGCAGTCACAAATTAAAGTCCATTTAGAAACACAGAAAAAAAACGTTTTATTACTGCTCTGTGGACTAACGTAAGAGTGCTCACACACAGAAGTTACATAAGACTGCTTAATGAATTAAAATGTTTCAACTGAGATCTTGTTGTGGCAGATACATAAGAATTACATCATGACAGTGTCCTGAGCAAAACGTCGATGCAAACACAGAACACACTGATGAATAAAAACCTGTGAGGAACTCAAAGTGCTTAACACTTCATATCTCAGCAATTTAGTGCTGCCATGTAGTGACCACAGAAAAGAAGTGCCTTTGCAAATATTCCTTACATGATTCAGAATGAAGATGTTCCACGTGTAAACATTTTATATAGTAAATGTAAAGAGCAAATTTGTTGAGGATTATCTTACCTTTCCAGAGTCCATGATGGGTCCACAGTGTCAGCCAGGAGGCTGGTAATGATCAATGGAGCTGCATGCTCGATCACGCCGTGTCCACTCTCTAATCGACAAACACATGCATGTCCACATGCACATGGACACACACACACACACACACACACACACACACACACACACACACACACACACACACAATGTTGACAGAACTCTAACACATAAATCACAAAAGTCTCATTCATTCTCTACACACAAACACAAACTTATAAATAAAATGATATTCAGTTAAACAGTCTGGAATCTATTGATGGAAACGCTGTCTGGTTTCAGGGTTAGGGTTAGGGTTTAGGTTGTGTGGTGTTGCATGCTGGGACTATATATTGACAATGATAAACGGTATATTGCAATTAATAAAACAATGCAAAATTAGTGTTCTGTTGTGTTCTTGGACAGTATCAATGGTATTCTGACATTATTCTTTCTCTTTCTCTCCCTTTCTCTCTCTCTCCTCTCTCTCTCACACTCTCTCTCTCTCTCTCTCTCTCTCTCACACACACACACACACATTTGCTGTTAACACAATACTTATGAGGTGGACAAAGTCTGAGGGTCGAGGCTACAAATGTGCAACACTTGCAAAAAGGCTCTCTCATGAACACATCCACAAAATAGAAAAACACATTTCCAGAAGCATAATGCTCTAGTTTCATTTATTTCTCTCTTACAGCATCTCTTTTACAAAACAAATAAATCCCAAAACAGGACATTAGTAATGCTCTTTCAAAATAAAGAAAACAAGAAAGAAACAGAATAAAGAATACAGTGGTTTCGTCTTTGAAAGGAGAGATCTCAGTGTAATGACCATCATCATTTTTTCCAATTGGAAGAGTGAATTCCACAATGGACAAACAGAGTAATAATGCCCCCATTCACACTTGTTCATTAATCATACACACAGATGCATGCGTGCGCGCACACACACACACATACACACACACACAAACACACACACACACACACACACACACACAGGGAAGACGGTGGTTTTCTTCAGCTTGGCTCTTTATTGCTAAATGTTAGCCTGCTCCCCCTAACAGAGATCAGTGAACCTAACTTGCAGCTCCGCAGGAACAGCTACTGCATGGATGTGTAAAAAAAAAAAAAAAAAAAAGTAATAATTTAACAGAAACAAAACTTCATTGCAAATGATCGTTACATAATTTGGGAATGAGTCTATTTTTTTGTGCCACTTTAAGTTTGTTCACCATAGGCCAACATACTGCCACATCTGCAGAAAAAAAAAAAGACCAATCTGCATTACATTGCTCTCCGACATGGATGAGTGTACATGAACTCGTCCGCCCTCAATAGTGTTATAGATTTAATACAATATGTATTAATGATTGAGCTGTTCTAAATATTTAGAAATGGCAAATTCATGTCATCCCATATTCAGTTACTCCTTTCAAAGAATAAATCAATCTCAATGTTAATGTACATCTCTATTAGAAGAGACAAATAACATCAGCAATGTGTTAAAGTTAGATAATAACACACAGACACACACCGAAAAAAGGAAAGAAAAAAAACAGTGTAAAGTAACCGTATAGGCAACAAAATGATTAATTATAACAAGTGATAATCTCTTGGCCTCATTTTAGTTTTGCTTACATCATGCTAGGCACTGTACAAACAGTTAGGAGCCAAAAATCAGAATCAGAAGAGCCAATCAGGAGAGGAGCATGATTCAAAAGGACACCACAGCTTTCGACGACGGGTGCTTTGACGCGCACACAGTATTCGGGACAGCGGCTCATATCCTGTGGAGGTCGTACTCATAAGCTCTTTATATGCATCTTCATTATCTCCTACAGCGACGTGGCTGTAGTCATGAATAGCCAGAACATTACTGTGTTAAAAGGAGACACACACACACAAAGATGAAAAATAAAAATCAACCACTAATATTGCCTATTTTTTTTAATGCATGGTGTTCACCAACTCATAAACTTCATACTAAGAAGATAATATTGTAAATCTGCTTGTAAACACACTCAGTGTTGCTTTGATCGCATTAAGGTAGAAGTTGACGCACAAAGACAACATTACTCGAGTCCACTTTTCGTGGACATTAAGTTCAACGCCCCACTTTCACTTTTATCAAGTCAAACACACACACACACACACACACACAATTATACACGCATTCATACACACATTTGACACACACTCCTGATTTCAGAGACACATGTGCTGTACATTTCCTCAAGCTTCAAAGACTGACTGACTCCAAACTGTTACACAGAAGAAAAAAAGAAAAGAAAAGAAAAGAACGAAAAATAAACAATGAACTGAATGACGCTCTCATTGTTCATTTAATATTACAGTATATCTGATGCAGCACCTTCAGAGTTTAAAGAGTGAAAACAGGGAGAGGAGAGTGATGATGATGATGATGGGAGGAGGGGAAAGAGGAAGAAAAGGAGAGAAAAGACGGAATGGACCAGTGATTTCATTTTAAAGGGACACAGACATCATCTTTGCATACTATTCCGACTCGCCTATGACAGCAGAGTCTCATCGCATCTCTATCAGCGAAATGCGATCGAACACTAAAAATCACAATTCAGTTTGACTCAGAACCCGAAAAAAAGATGGCGAGAGGAGGAAGTGGAGGAGGAGGAGGAGGAGGACTGACAGAGGAGAAAGAAAATCAATCAGGCTGTCTGCATTCACCGCCGACGTCCCGAGTAGATTTGTCATCTCTCAGCTGCCCTCCCTGCACTGTCATATTCAGAAGCGTACATTTAAATTTATATTAAATCTCATTCATCTATTCTTCCTCCGTCCCTTGAGGTGCAGTTCTCAAAGGAACGAGCCCACACATGGCAGACAGGGAGGGAGGGAAAATGGAGGGCATAGGCGTCAGTGATGACTAGATCCAGCAGAAGGAAGGGGAAGGAGCAGAGGCTTAGGAAGCGAGGACAAAAAGAAGGAGAAGTAGAGCGACAGAAGGTGGGCAGGTGTAAAGTGTATTTACTACAGTTGCACGCACACTTGAATGCACTGGTCCGTTTGGAGAGACGAGACGGACAAAAAGGGGGAAGAGTTACAGACAGACAGACAGAGAAAGAGGGTCAGAAGAGAATATTTGGAAAGTCAGTGGCACCAGTTTGCCAGTCAGTTGAGTAACGATGGCTTCTGCATGACCCGACATAATCTAGGGTGACATGTCTCTTCGTTTGTTGTTTTGTTCTCTACGATAATTTTGTTGTTTTGTTTTTGTTTTTTTTTTGTTTTTTTTCCTCTACACCATTTTAGTCTCTCCAGTGTTAAAAGAGTTCACTTTGTGGCCTCTCGGGCGGTCGGGTTCGTTTGTGAGATGTGCCGTGGGCTGGCCAATGGGAGAGTGAGGCAGAGTGGACCGTGGGAGGAGCCATCACCAGTTCATCATAGAGTTTCTGTTGAGGGTCATGAAGAAAACTTGGCTGCTACCTCCCGAACGCACTGATGCAAAGAATACCTAGAGAGAGAGAGAGCGAGAGCGAGAGAGAGAGAGAGAGAGAGAGAGAGAATATTACAAACAAATCAGCTCTCATTTCTTATTATTATCATTTCGCAATCTTTTTCTGAAATGTTACTTTTTGGAGTAAATATCACTAATAGCAGGCAATTAAGGGTATTCTTATTTTCATGCATCTGAATTAATTTAAAGCGCAGTGTTGACGTTAGCTTTTGTACATATGTTTGACTAAAATCTCAAAGATCTGTGCAATGTGCTGTATACCAAACTTCGTGCTAAAAATGTATGCACGTGCACAGAGGCAGTGATGAAATCGCCGCCGCTTGAGACAGGGTGCAAATCAAGATAAGAGCAGGTCAAGCCTTCATCAATATTTGTGATTCTTCCCTAATAATTTCCAAGCAATGAATAAGAATCACAGACAATCGAAGAAGACATGCAGTACAGCTGTGTTTTACCTTGTCGTTTCGCTCACAGAGGAACTTAAGTCTCTGGGCTCTCTTGTGCATAAAGACTCCATCCAGATGACCTGTCTCCACAGAGCGGATCTCTATGGCTTTCTCACCCCATCCCATAATCTGATTAGAATGGATATAGGCTGGAAAGGAAAGAACCCAAGTGAGACATAAGTGATAGTGGAAAAAAAACAAAAAAACGTAAACATATTTATGCTACATATCATTTGGTTCTTTTCCAAGCATGTAGATACACAACAGACACAAGCCACTGCTCTTTTGGTTCATTACCAACGCTTTGCTTCATTTGGAGGCTTTAGCAATGTCACATCATTTAATGATGTGTTACTCAGAAATCAGAGGTCCAGGTTGAATACAGAGCAGTGCCACTGAAACCTGGTGATATTTCTGCAGAGAAGATGCTTGCTGACATTGCACTTGAACCTCGCAAGTCAATTCACGGGGCATGTCCCCGGTCTCAGTGATGGCAATCTTTACGCAATAAAAAAAACGATTTCCACACCCTCGAGCGTCAACATGCACATGAGAATCTGGAGACACCAGTACTATTCTAGATAGAGGCAACTTTAAAAGTGGTAATACCCCTGGTGGCCACACGAGGGCAGTAAAATACAAACAAATTAAGTGGCATTTCCTGTTCAAACAGAGCTCATCCTCATTTCTTTGTTGGCCTCGCTCACTCTTGCTTGCTCCCCCTCTCTTCCCCTGTGTCTTACTCCCTCGCTTTTCCTTTTATATTTACTCACGTTCATGTAATATCCATTTATCCTTTCTCCAACTTTTACCCTCACTCCCCCCTCCCTCTTTTTCCTGCTGCCTGCTAAGCAGCTCTGGAGGCCTTCCTGTGGAGGCTGATGTTATAATGTGATTTTTGAATGTAATTAAACCTTAAATGAACCCCCTCGATAAGCTCATTTCTCAGATTCCTCACCTCACCAAACACTTTGGATTTGCATCACAACACACACATACACAGGCGCTGAAATCGGTGCTGGTATATCACTGTTTTAATGTCCCCTATGTTATACAAATCTATTTAAATCAATTAACACACATACACTTCAAATATACACGTAGGACATACCAACAGAGGTAGGCATCTCTCCCCACTGGAGCACCACGTCCTTGGTGATTCGACCGTAGGTGTTGACGTAGACGCCCTCGTCCTCGTAGCACAGCAGCATCTCCATTCCATCAGTTTTAGGCAGCACCACGATGGCATGGGGCGTCACCTGGCTCTGGATCTAATACAGACACACACACGCAAACATTTCGCAAGCTTTAATTAAATCTGTCAAATTTAATCACGATCTACATTAGATAAAAAATATTACAGAGGTTTCAACATAGGCATTTAATTCAACAGAATTTGGCTGCCTCTGGCATTTTTTTTTGTTTGTTTTTTTGGACCGGCCTGCTTTCTGTAATCCTCTAAAGGGCACGTTTGTGAACACTGACAAGCCCGGCAAATATCAGGAGCATCAGTGCATCAAGAGGTTCAAACTTTGGATTGTTACCTGAGAGGCCTCGTTCCACATAATAAGCAAACAGACAAACCTACAGCACTTTTTCTCCCAACCTTAATTAACAGAAATAACATCAGAGGGGAAGGGAACAGTTACACACGTACACATGTAACTTGATTCTGTGGACAGAGACCAGCTGCATTTTCTGCCACCAGGTATGACTTAAGACTAGACACTTGGGGAGCACAACAAGGGATAGTATCAGCACAACAAATGGGTGATAAGGTGGTGAAGAAACTCATCTTAGCCCACGAGAAGCAGCGTTCACACAGGAGCTCGGCACTCACTGCCACACTTCTGCTCACTCTGACCACACTGAGGTAAGGCAAGGGTCGAGCACGGTCTTTGGACTGCAGTTTAGCTGAAAGGAACACTAATGATCGGCACTGCTTGTTTAATATGCTTTACTTCTGCAATTTTGTGTTGAGGTTTCGGCGCGATCAAACGCCTTCAGTTGGTAAACACATCTTTCTCCTCTTAGAGTCACGTGATGTCTGCTGTGGGTAAGATGAATTTCTTCACACAAACCGATTTCTAGCTAAAGTTATCCGTTAATGCGTATCCACTATGGGGTTTTTTTTCTTTTACTAAAGATCTATTGATCTAGTCTAAAGGGGTGGATGGCAGGATGTCACCTTCATCTTTTTGGCACACTGGAAGAGAAGTTGGCAGGAAAGGAGAGAGAGAGGAAGCATGGATGAAAGGTGGAAGCAGGAAGACAATCACGTCACAGTTCATGAACATGTGCAGTATGGGCTATAAAGATAAATGCATGGTGCAGTCGTGTGTCCTTACATTTGTATTCAGTGATTTATATTTACCAGAATAACAATCAAGACTTTGGCTGAACTGCATTTGAACTTATTTCAGGAAAAGCGTACGATTAGTGACACCACCACGGAACAAACTAATCTGCATGCATGTCCCATAACTGATTTGCATTCAAGCACGCAACAGGACAAGTACTGATGGCCTACCTAGCTCTCATCAGTGATTGAGTGACTCTCTCGATGCTCTTTTAATGACCTTTGCTGCAACAGGAAATTTGGAAACAGCTTCTATCTCCTGTGCTCTGTAGTAAGAGCAATACCGTATTTTTGAGCTACGTACCATAGATAATCGAAGCTCGATGCACCATATTTAGGAAACTAAAAAAAACTCTGGTAAAAGAGGTAAAACTGCCATCAATGTCTTAATTGCTCTTCAATCTTCTAATTGTAAATCAAGCAAAGAGGTGATCTGTCAAGATAAAGTCATTGTATTCCTAAAGGCCAATCCAGCGTAGGAGTCATTAATGTTCTTGGCGTGGGAGATCAGCTCGTGGATAGAATAGGATTCTGGCATGAAAGAATGAAAAAATACCTCATGTGTAGGCTTTGATTCAAATTCATTAGAGCTGCAGCAGCCTGAGGGTAACTTACAGAAGATACACACACGCAGACATATGGAAACACACGGCGCCGCACTTACATGTGAGGGGATGTAGATGTCGTAAGGGTTGCCTGAGTCCACGTCGATCACATGGAAGCCCACGCTGGAGCCGTAGATGACCTTTAACCTCTGACCTTCCTCCACCGTCAGGTCAACCAGCTGGGGACGGTGCTGCAAGTCAGTGAACGACTGAAAGGCAAGAGAGAGCGAGAGACACCAGATGCTTAGGGGTAAGAGGATGATGATGGAGTGAGAAAAGACAAAGTCAAAAAGGAAATCAACAATAAAATGATACGTCATTCTGAGCCTGTACATATAGTGTTCACTTCCATACCTTGAAGGCCATGAACTTGTGGTAGGGTTTGGGAGCCCAGGCATAGATTTCCACAGAGTTTTTCAGAGCAATCACCAGGAACTTAATCCTCTCATATTTTACTGGAAACATAAAGACACATACATGAGTTTCAGCACAGACTGAGTTCATTTTAATGCTCCATTCAAACATGAAAAGAAGAACTTAACCTGCTCTGGTGTATATACTCTAATGTACATTCAATTTTAAAAGTTGGTACATCAGGATGTTTGTAAACCCTGTTGCCTCCTGGCACATGCCTCCTTGTGTCGCCCCCCCCCCACACACACACCTGCTCTTCTAAATCTCATTTGATGTGAAAGAGCCAGCAAAAGTCCTTCTGCTAGAGTTACCAGAATATAATTTCAGTTTAATGAAAAAAATATATATAGCAACTTCCCTTTACAGCACAAAGCAATAGAAGAGGCAGCAGTAACCGGTAGCAAAGGTAAAATGCAGTTTAAAGACTGTAAGATCATTTTTGCTCATCAAACAATTAAAAAACTGTTTTCAAAGGTGCTTTATTTTGAAAATTCAGAGTGTATGGTATAATATTTTCTTTGTCTGTGTTATACCATCACTGCATAAATGCATATCACCTGAATGTCGAATATTACTCTTTCACATTTAACAACACAGCCAGAAACCTACATATAAACCCCCCCATTTCTCTGTATATACACACATATACACACACACACAAATCCTTACCAACTTTATAATGCACACAGCCCTCCAGCTCCCCGACTGTAATCCAACCCTGCTTCTTTTCTACTTCTGGGTCGTTGTGTAATATTCTGTTCCTCAGCCAGGACAAGTAGTAGACACGCAACTTATTCTTTTTCCCTGCGAGAGGAGGAACAGAGGTAGAGAGAGTGATGAGATCAAATTTACTCAAATGAAGTGATTAACAAAAAAAACCCAGATAAATTACTTTCCTTTTTTGGCAGTAAACGACACACAATGGCAAATTACCTGGCCATTGTGACTGACCTAGATTACCTAGATTTGTATGTTGATTTTCCTGGGAATATGATTATAAGTAAAGGTAATGACATATGCTACAGTCTGTGTTTCGTGTTGTGCGCTTTACAACACGAAACTGGCATGTATGTATGCTGGCATGCGAAATCGTATCTACACACAATTCAGATATGCTGGACGTGCGGGGTCTGTGTATGTAAGCATGCACCTGCATGTGTGCGTGCATGCGTGACCATGTGTTTAAGACCTACCAGATATGGTGACCAGCACATTGAGCCCCTCCAGCACATCCATCTGCAGGAAGCGCCGTCTGGTGATCAGGTTATAGACTTTTCCCTGTCCGCTTCTGTCAAGCAGCATCAGACCATTCTCTGTCCCCACCAGCAGGTTCACACCTAAACACACACACAAACACACACATATATATATGAGTCAGAGGCACGGAAAGATACACAACCCCGCCCCCCCCCCCAAAAAAAAACAGAGATGGGGATAAAGGATGCTTCCTTCTTACCCCAGAGTGCAGCACACAGGATCTCAGAGTTAAAGCGCTTCTTGTATTTGCGGATCTCGGGCGTGTCACTGTGGGGTCTGATGTTGGTAGGGTTGACGTTGACCACAGAGATCTTTCTGGCTTCGTTTAGTCTGGCCTGCTCCTGCCTCAGCAGCTCATTTGCAAACATGGCTACGATAACACGGAGGAGGTGAAAGAAATATGTGATTTTATGTTTTTTTGTTTGTTTTTTTTTAGCAAAACAGGTGCAAGTAAAATGTGTGGCCAAAGCTTCAATAGGTTTTTCTTACCTGCTGCTGAGTTCTCATTGTCATCTTCACTTGGCGATGTCTGATAGACGCGTGGATCAACAAACGGGGTAAAGGACGCTTTGGAGCCCCCCACACCAAACTGTAAGACACAAAACACTGACTAAATGATGTGCTGTGTGTGAATACCTTTTATAGGCACTGTAAGAGCTGATAGTATTCCACATCATCACATCAGTGTGTTTTAAAATTCCTTCTTTATGTATGATATGTATGAATTAAACTCATGTTTCATTCACAGGTCTATATCCAGGGAAAGGGTATTAATGTGTGTGTGTGTATGTTACGTGTGTGTCTCTGACCTCAGCCATGTCGCCCAGTTCCTGCAGGGCTGAGGTGGGTGTGGCTGAGGGAGAGTTGCTCTGCTGTACCAGGTCAGGGAGGTTACCATGGTTACTGTGATTCCCAAACCCGTTACTCTCAGTGTGACCGCCTCTCCTCCTCTCCTCTGCCTGAGAGACAGGAAGAGAGAGAAAAGAATGATACTGAGAGAGGAGTTTTCAGCAAAAAGTGAGAGGAGTAGAAATCCCTGTGACTAGTGTGTGTGTGTATGTGTGTGTGTGTGTATGTGTGCGAGACAGAGAGAGTGCGTGTGTGTGTTCATTTGTCACCTCTCTCATCACTAGAGTGCCGTCCTTGGAGCTATTATAGGCATCTCCCAGAGAGTCCTCTGTCAGCCCTCCATACGACTCGCCACTGCTCTGCACCGGTGGCCTGCAACACACACACACACACACAGAAAGAAAACACACACAGTGCCGATTATTTACAACGCAATTCTGCCAAAACTGTAGTGACAAGCTACTGGCATGGTGCATATTCCAAAGACATGCATATCTCAGCACAAATGAAAACTGACAGGTCCAGCCTGAAAAAAAAAAAAAAAAAAAACACAGAACAAGAGAGAGAAAAATAAAAACAGGGAGGACAACTTACATGATACGGGGGATGTCACTAACAGCGACAGTCCCATCATGGCCCACTGTCTCCCCATCCTCATCGCTGCTCTCTGATTCGTCACTGGAGGACGAGTAGTCTGTCACCTTTAGCAGAAGAAAAGAAATACAACCGTCTGAGAAACAACAGTGTGATAAGACAATGTATTTATTAGGGTTGCATTCAAATGACCTCCCATTTGTACTCACAATTTTCACAAATCTCAACGGTTTGTCGGTTACCCAGTGTTACATTACCCAGTGTTTTCACCACTGGGTAATAGTTAAAGTGATACACATTTCTGTTGCTGGTTTCACGCCATTCCACTGATCTACAGTTGGCAGCAGTAATGCAAAAAAGTGCACCAACAAAGGCAAGAAGAAGGCATCAAGCTAGCAACGATGAATGTTAACAATGCCCGATTTGAAATACTCATTTTATGAAGAAGGAAATGCATTTGACGCGTTCGTTAGACCTCAAGGATACACGCACCAATGTGCTGTGGCGAACAACAATGAATGTAAACACAACTGTTGTTAGAAAAGAAATACAACTCCACAGGGCACGTTAGATCTCGCTCCGTAGATTGTACAGACTCACTCGACCGAGTACTGGATTTGAGTTTTATCAGAGATCATTTTGCAAAAGGAGTTCAATATATTCTTAAATGCTTCGGCAGTTCACTGGAGCAGTTTTCAGAGATCTCAAAAGCAAAAGTCAACAGAGTAACTTTGAAATTGTGTTTGTGTTTTGCTTGTTTTATTTTTGACACGAACATGTGTCAAAAATAAAACGATAATGACGACGATGATGGATTATTATTGTGTTGTTATTCTCAGCAGTTCTATTTGGAGGCCAGGACTGGATGACTGCAGTCTATTATTGTCAAGTAAATACACCGACAGTATCTGCTAACACTTATCATTATTAGAAATGTCATCATACCTTGACTGGAGGTCTGCTGCCTTCCTCTACCCTCAGTTCTCTGAGTTCCTTAGCCAATGCACTTAGGTCCTATAGAGAGGGACAGGAGAGGAGAAACAAGCAAAGTCATTCAGATCTGTATCATCAGAAACCAAGATGCCAAATCACATACAAGGAGAAGGGGAGCAGAGAGGGGCAAAAAGAGGGACAAAACCATCAGCATCATGACAAGAGGACAACTGATTTGTTGTCGCACAAACATCTGGGCCTGTAAACATAGGCTTCTTGGAACAAGAGTGCTCATCTGAGATCCCCTAAATATTTTGTAGTGATCACAGATGAGCTCTCTTATTCATTCACAATCAAATATTAATTCTATGAACACAGGTCATGAGAAGAAAAGAGAGAGGCAGATAATCGGTGTACTACTGGAGTGCAGCATCAGCCTGCACCCCCACTACCAATCATTCCCATGCCAACTGGCCCGTGGTTTCTTCCCTTCCCCTCCCTCCCCATTCAACCCAGCCCATGGCTCAGACCAAATTCATGCAGACGAAGGGAGGGGGGGAGGGGGGGCCGTCATACACGGTGGGCTTACCAGCTCCTCCTGACCAGTAACCGTGACAACAGAGAAACAGGAAAGGAGATTTAGAGACTGTTTCAGGTGCTTGGCAGTTCAGGTCTCAGGTTCACACACACACACACACCACACACACACACACGCACACACGCACACGCACACAACACATGCATTCATACGCGCAACCGGCACAAGCACGCGTCCACATACACTCTCTGGGGAATGTGTGTAGAAGCACACATGCACTGCCAATCGCCATCACACCCTGATATTTCCAAGCTGAAAGAAACAAACGTCGTCTTGTGAATCCAGACTAACTCCACCATGCCAGGGTAAAAAGAGGGGGCTCTGAAGATCGAGGCAAAATAAGGAAAACCGGGATAAAAGAAGGGGGACTCGAGTGTCACTAACCTCATCTATGGCTTTCCTATAGCTCTGAAGGATGAAAGGAGAAAGAGAGAGAGAGGCAGAGAAAAAGAAAGGTAGAAAGAAAGAAAGAGCAAGACAGAACCGGATGAATGAGCAGAGGAGATCTAGAAGATACCCTGAGAGGAGATTGCTGCGATAGAAAGTGTGTGTCTGCGTTGTGCAACTCACTGCAGGTCTGCTGGGTCTGGCTGATTCACGGCCCTCCTCCTGTTTGGACTTGGCCTCCTGATTGGCTCCTGGAGGGGATCCTTCCTGCTTGGTTTGACCTATCGGAACAAGACGGTAATTACACAATTGACCCACAAACAGCAGATAAACAAACTTCATCATAATCACAAAAAAAATGGTGATTTCAATTTTGATGTGTCCTATTTGATCATATTGTGAAGAATTTGTACTTCTGGGTTGAAATCACATTGAATCCATCCATTCTCTTTTCTCATCCTATTTTTATACTCTCTTATAGTCTCAGCTTTTACATTTTTCTGCATATTTACAGTCAACACCCAACAAACATGAAGGAATACCGATCCCACCATACTGCTATGTCTGTTTATGCCATGTGTTTGTCAGAGGGAGATCCATGCATAGCTTAGATATCCCTCTGGCCTGGTGTTTGACACATCCCTCTACGCCTCTCTCTCTATTGCCCTCTCTCATTTCCTCTCTTCTGTCTCTCTGGAGGCTGAGAGCAACAGGGCACATCAGACAGGTTGATCAGAGCAGAACTGCGACTGACAATGTCCCGCTGATAGCCCCTGAAACACGCTGGAGCCGTGTCAGCGTATGTGGATTATTCGTGTGTTTCTCTGTCTGTATTTTGCACACACACACAAAAAAAGCATGTACACACACATGCCAGTTTTTTTTTTTAATTGTTTGCACGTAAGGGTAAAGGTGTATTCGCCTAGTCTTGGCATGTGAATGTGTCCGTGGGTTTGTGAGAGTGTGTGTTTGCACCTCTCCTCTCGGCTGAGCCTCCCTGAGATGAAGGGGAGGAGGAAGATGAGGAGTTGGAGGAAGTTCTTTGCAGCATGGCGTCCAGAGAGAGCTCTGAGCGCCGCAGGTCTGGGTTACTGCAACAGGGGGAAAATATTTCCATTCATTTTGCAGTTCTTTAAAATTAAATTATGTAAAAGAGATATATGCTGTAGATAATCTGCAGATTCTTCAGTGTAAGAGAAAGGGTTAGTTAGTCTTTGTAAAAGTAGCACTTTTTGCAATGGCATTATATAGTGTTTTAATGCAATAAAACTGCAAAGAAAGTGTCTTAAAGGATAATTGAAAGTGCCTTCAGGTGTTTGACCTGAGAGGTGCACAGTGATCTTTACCTGGCTCGTATGAGCTGAGAACCTGTGCGAGGGCCCAGACCCACTCCTCCGTTAGGCGAATTCTTCCTGACCAGGGCTGGGGAGATGGAAGTGGTCCTCTGTGGGACCTGGACACACACGAACACACACAGACAGAAGGTTCACCATTGCTGGAACAGCTTGGCTGTTTAATTCCCTAAGCAAGGAGTTCAGAGCTTGTATCCATGGTGTTATTTAATTGTTACATCAGTAATATATCCATGTGGTCGTCTGGCAAAACGCAAAAACTGACGCATTTAATTATGGGTGGTGACGCTCTAATAACTACTCTGCTATTAAACAATGTTTATTGGCTGGTTGTTGTTGTTGATACACCTGTCCTGGTTAACAAAGCGAACAGAGTCTGATCAAAATGAAGCCATGTTGAGGAAAGTGAAGCATTTCACGTCATGTTTGTATTTCCAGCTTGTAGTCAACAGCTTAAGCCCGCCAGCACTTTTTTTTTGTTGCAATTCTGCACAAGCTGATTAAATCCTTGCAAAGCCGAGCCTTTTCGCTGTAATTTCAACATTATTTCAGTTACCTCACCGGAATAGAGAGGATAACATTGTGTGTAAAGTTATACATCACAGCTTCAACCGATTCTACCCAAACTAATGAGACGTGGAATATGGTTAGCAGTATTTGCATAATGACTTTTTGCTGTTTGTAGCATGTAATCAACTGACTAACTGACTTAAAGACATAAAAGGATGTAAATGCACACTAAAATATAATAAATAAACAACATATTTGGTGAATCAATTTCCTTCTTTCTGAATGTGACTCTCTGACCTTCGGTGGAATGTCTTCCTCTCTCAGCCAGGCCGTCCTGTCCCGATCCCTGTCTCTGTCCCGTTCCCGATCCCGTTCCTCCCTGCCGGCGATGCGCAGCGGAGGTCCGGGGGTGTCAGAAGTGGGGTCTGAGTTCTGCCGGGGCATCTCGGGCCTGGGGGATCCAACGCTGACGGCCTCACTCAGCGCTGAGCCCGTTTGGTCCTGCAGAGACTGAGAGCCGGACATGGAGCTTGAGTGGGTCTTCACTGGGACAAGGTGAGCCATCTGAGGGGGCCGAGAGGCAGAGGAAGAGGGCGCCATGAAGGAAACGAGTCGGGCGGGTTGGAGAAGGTTGAGCATGGCAGGGAGATAAGGGGGTGGGGGGGGGGAGAAGGATTAAAGGAGGAAGAGAAAGACGGAATAGAGTTGATGATGTATGGTTAGGAGAAAAGAAATAAGAAGGATGTTGAGGAGGAAGATGGAAAGCATGGAGGGGAAACAGAGAAGTAGAGAGGGAGCCAGTCGGTTGGAGAAAGAAGGTAAAGATGGAGGCAGAAATAGATGGGGGGGGGGTATAGACAGCAGAACAGAAGGAGACAGCAGAAGTTTTAGGAGATGAATGAAAAGATGAAAATGGAGATTTGTAAGGAAGAAAGGACAATGGCAGAAAACAGATCAAGAGAGAAAAAGAGATAAAAAGGAGGAGAGACAAAAGGGACAAAATATGAGATTGACTGATAGGCAGGAACTTTCAAAGTAAAGGCACTGGCAGTGAGGAGCCTTGTGATTGTTTGTTTGAAAACATCGGTCACTATGAACGTTTACACGCCTCCTTTTTCAGACACACACACGCGCACACACACACACACACCTGTGGTTCGATGGAGCGGTGGATGGGTGGGGTGCGGGCGGGCTGCATGCCCCCGCTGCTGAAGGACTCGGAGCGGGGAGGGAGGGAGGGGTCGGAGATGCGGTTGGACACTTTGTGCTGCAGCGCTGGGGAGCTCTGTCTGTTCAGCTTAGATCGCTCCTCCACCTGGGTACAGGTCACATACCACTGTCACTCACAGCCCAGCACTCGACACACACAACCAAACACTGCGGCTATCACCCCCCCACCCCCACCCCCCCCCCCCCCCCCACCCCATGCATCGCTACAAGCCACCAGACAATCTTAACATCGCTCAGCTATGTGGGACAACAAGCACAATGTGGAATGTAACTGTGATTGAATGTTGTTGACTGTATGACTGATTTATGAGCGTGCACGTTGCAGTTTTCCTTCACCACGTTTGTCAACACGTGCCACAAGGCTGGCAGGTGCAAGAGGTATACAAAGCCATATAACGTTCATGAAATTCAGTGGAAGACATTTTGTTATTGTCACCTGTCTCAACAGCCTTTTTCTGAAGTATTGCACAGTAGAAGCAACCCGAGTTTCACAGAAACAGTTGCCAAAAAAACAATAGCTCAAAAACTAAACTGGCAGGTCGAGGGTTCCAATGTTGACCGCAATGTTTTGGTTGCAGATCCGACTCTGTCTCCCACCATCTGTCATTCGATTCTCATCTTTGTTTCCCCGCCCCCATCTGTTTATGTATGGTGTGTTCCCATGTCCCACATACAGTCGAGGAGTAAGAATGTCTGATGGCTGTGGGGAAAGGTCAAGAATTATCTCTAATCTCCTTTAGCAGACACCGCATTCAAACCAAAATCATGCAATCCTGCGAAGGTAATGTGTGCGCACATACGAAACCATGTTTGACTTGTTTGTGCACATTAAACGCTTGAGCGACCGTTCCCACTGACTTTTGGCTGCGCGCATGTGCGTCAACACCAATGCATGCTGAATATCTGTGTGTGAGGAAGGCAGAAAGCTCCTCTTGCCAGTGTAATCAGATTATCAGATTATCTGCTGTGTGGGGAGACAAGGCTCCGAGGAACGCTCCTAGCTCCCCCGAATCACACTTTCCACTCTAGACAATCCACTCAACGGTCCATGGAGGGTTGAGTCATGGCTCAGCAGGGCATAGTATCAATAGCCCCCAGGTAAACATGCACGGGCAATGAGAGCTATCCTCCCTTTGGAGGCTTTCTGTAATTCCGCATTAGCTCATAATCTAGTAGGATTATTCAAGATTATGACTTGGGTCAGGACAACTATGCCATACTGTGTCATTCCTCAAATCTTTGTTAGTTACCTGCTAGGGAGTCAACTACAATGAGACAACTATAACATCTATGGCGGCATAGAAGTTCCCAAATACTTTGTTAATGGTTCCCATGGGAAGAACAAAGTAGAAAGAACCGATGGAAAATAAACATTTGGTTATTCAGGAAAGGTACTGCTGTGACTGAAGTAGAGTTTGATCTGCGGAGGCAGTATGAAATCATAGGTTAGCATAAACGTCAACTGACCTACAAGAAATAGAGAAATGACTATTAGAGGATCCCTTTACAGAAGAAAAAACTTTTGGGTAGTGCTGCTTAAATCTTCCATCTTAAGTCCACCACGCAAAAGCTCTTTCTGCTATCGTAGAGATTCTAAAAGACAAAAGTTAATAAGGAGGAAGTTAATAAGTATGACCACAGCTGCATTTACGCAAAGAAATGGCACAGAAGAAGATGAAGACGGAGAGGAGCATGGAGGACAAAGGGCATCCACTGAGGATCCAGGTTTGTTAGAAGGATCCCACCACCACCACTTGGCCAGCACCCATCACCAAGCCGGGATATGATTGACTAGTTGACTAACCTAAAAGGGAAGTTGGTATGGGAGGGTTTCCCCGATGACATAGACACCAATGTGTCTAAAGGCTGGCTCGCCATGGTGCATAGTGGGTTACAGGGGTGGTAAGGGTCCCAAGGGGGCTGGCAGGGTGTGGGGGTGAGGCAGGGCTGTGGCTAACTAAGCTACCTATGAATCAGGGTGATATTAGACGGTCCCTGGATATTGGCACTTCCCCTCTGGATTTCAGTCCCAGTAGATTAAGTGTAAAAAGCAACAATTCCAGCTTTACAGAGATACATGTAGATATATTTACAGACCTTTAATATACAATGTGTGTAGATGTGTATGTATGTAAAATATGCTGTTGTACTTTGTGAGAACTAATTTGAATAGGGTGGGGGTATTTCTGAAAAGTGTGAACTGAAAACAATTTAACAGGGTTGGGATTTAACTTGTAGTTGTGATGATTCGGGTTAGGTCTCAGGGAATGCATTATTATTTATCGCAACTATAGAAGTACAAACAAGTGTGTGTATGTTTGTGTGTTATTATTTACATGTGCTTTGGAGTGGGTCTAGCACTATTTTCCTGTGGATGTGATGCAGATCTGGGTCTGGGATCCAAAGGGAGAGCCATAGGGGGAGCAGTAGGGAGTAGAGGCAGGTGAGATGTGGAGGGGAATAGGGGAATAGTTGGGCAAGAGGAGGTGGGTGTGAGGAGATGGAGGGGATCCATGATATGCCATCTTAGGCTCAGGGTCAGGGGAAAATGGAGGGGACAAAGTACTCATGGACCACAAGCATGGGGACGTGGGGGAGCATGAGTGGGAGGTTTTCGGAGAGGTGCGAGGAGAGAGGTTCAACCAAGGAACTGGAGATTCTGGAGAGCAGCTGAATGCTAAGTAGTCAGAGGAGCGACTACTCATTAGATGGCCAGTCTCAGCCAGTTTCTGTCTGAATCCATCTGCTGTGGCAGAAGCACTAAGGTCACAATAAGAGGAGCTAACTCGAATAACATTCTGCCTATAATTCTCACCTCTTCTATCTGTATGAGAGAGAGGTAAAAGGAATTGATTCATCTGAGGGACTTTAAGAAGATTGCCAGTGTTGGAGGCAGGTGAGTAGGAGCTCCTTTGTCTAGGCCAGGCGAAGCGGAGAGTGCTTTCAGGCAAGGACTGAGAGAGGGGGTCAGTTGGGTCAAAAGATGCGGCTTCCCAGTCCGAGGGCACAAAAAGGCTCTCGTGGCTGACAGCTGCCCTCATCTCTTTCCCCCACCCTTCCTGATAATCAGGTTCTATATCTACATCTATTCTACAACGGGGTGAGTGCAACCTGCCACGAGGATGGCCACTAACCAGTTTGACCGCAGGGTTGGAAACATGATTTGATCCAGACTGGGGTTTCTGGACCTGTCCTGGGGACTGAGGATGAGGTTGAAGGGCCTTAAGCGGTAGATCTGGAGACGTTAGCCCCTGGATGGCTCCCTGACTGGGGACAGAGAGAGGCCTGTCTCTAGGCTTCTCTTTTTGATTACTGGGCCCCAGAGGATAAGGGTTGGGTACTGGTTTAGACGGGCTCACTGGCCTTTGGCTAGAATGCTCTATAGGATTCTTACTAGGGCCCTTACTGGGTCCTTGGCCAGCAGCCTGGTTCTGTTCCTTGATGGGCCCTGGGCTGCGGCCCCTCTGACTGAGCTTCTGAGCCCTGAACTCTCTGACCTGCTGACTTATTTCCTTCTTCAGCCCCGGATCTAGGGGTTCCCCAGGGTCTAGTGAAATACGGATATGGGGGAGGTGGGTAGAGAGGAGCTGGGCACCATGGGACGGGGTTCGCCTAGGGGCCTGAGCTCTGGGTTGGCCGTGAGAGCCAGAGGATGAAGCCGGTTGGTTGAATGACTGGTGATGTCGTAGGTGGGAATGGGGCGGGTTACCGTGAGCATGCTGCTGCTTCAGGACCTAGGAGTCAGAGTCAGAGGAGGGTAAGCAACATAAACACACACAACAAAGACACACACAAAGCTGACATCACAGTATCAGAGCAGCAGCGTTAATCCTTAAGTATATGCAGACTCTAAAAATGAACTCTTGAAGTGGGATCGGCCACCATTCTCCCCGACTTTTCCTTACAGGACGACTGCTTCTCGCAAGACCTGTCAAGTAAGATATTAACAAGACAAAAAGGCCGCTGGGTATGCACAATGTACATGAGGAGTTTGCTTGCCCACATTTTCAGATTCGCATGCATGTTTTTGTATGTCATGCACATTGGGACTTACCTCTTTAGCCCAGGCAGGCTTGTCATTAGGATTGATGACATCTTTGTAGTGGTAAAGCTGTTTCTTCTCTGCTTGCCTTCCCTCCTGCTGCTGCTGCTGCTGTTGCTGCTGCTGCTGCTGTTGTAGAGACACCAGGTAGGCTCTCTCCTGCTGGAGCTGCCTCTGTAGCCGCTCCGCCTGCCGCTGCTCCTCGATCTGCTTACGCTTGTACTCCTGGAGAGAGATGAGAGACAGGTATGGAGAACAGAGAGAAAATGAGGGATTGTACAAGAGGAAAGAGAAGAGGGAGAAAGATTATGAGGAGAGGGAAAAAGGGTGAGGAAGTGAAGGTAATGAGTAACACATAGGGAGTCGCATCACAACCAAAACAAGTAAGCAGGTAATTTTCAACCCATTAAAGGTCCCATATTGAATAAAGTGAGATATCTGTCTCTTTTGATAACCAAGCAGGTCTAGGTTCTATATTAATTCTGTGAGAGTATCAACGCACTCAGTTCACAGGGAAATGCACACAGCCTGTATTCAGAAACTGAGCATTAAAACGAGCCATCACTACTTCTGTGACTTTGTGATGTCACAACAAAACACCCTCAGTCCCCACCCTCAGCCACGCCCCCAAAGCCCAGCCCACCTGGACCAACTGTCCGGATTTGAAGGATTTGGTTTCTCTGAATGTTGAACTGAAATCTGCTAGATTTTTATTCAATCACCCAGAAAACAATCAGCCAATCAGAAGACAGACCGTGTGCTTCTCTTCTGATTGGCTCACTGACTTTTTGTTACTAGCGCTACAGAGAGAAGCCCAAGAGAGGAGATGGAAAACTACACTGAGATGGTTTTTGGTGCTTAAAACCAAATATTATGGATATCAACACTTTAATAAAGTGTAAAATATGGGACCTTTAATGATCAGTGGTGGGAAAATTAGTAGTTGCAAATCATTTTTATTTATTATAACTAGTAAATAACTAACTAGTTATTAGTCATTTGCAATCCGGAAACGTAATAAAATAAACTGACATTATCTCTCAATTGTTCAGTTTTGTGTGTATTTGCAAATACTGTATCTTCACTCTTTCACGGATCACAAAAAACAGACTGACAAATACTGCCAACTGGGATAGCAGATATGGAACATGAACACACTTTTCACAATTACAATCACAATTGAAAGCCTGATAAGATGAAACCAGACATAAGGCTTGAGGAGAGGGAGGAGGGGGAGGAACCTCTTGAGGGATGGAACTAGGAAGGTTGGCAGTATGAAGGGAAGGGGAAGACACTTGTTGGGCCACAACGCATCCCTGGACTTTGGTGTGTCTAGAGTCATTCCTGTGGCCTGTGGAGTTTTGGTATGGGTTGGATCTCAAAAGGGATTCTTGCAGACTGAATACATTTCACTTAAAAAGATGCAACAAGACTTCACTTCCTGCTGTATTCCTTGCACTAATAAAGCACAAAGCTGTTGCCCTAGACGAGACTAGGGCACTTGAGAAAAACTCTCTCTGGAAAACAACAATGTCCTATTTTCCCTTGGATGTTCTCACTTTGTGTGGGCTCGCATGATTGGGGCTGACAAAACAGTTTTTCCGCTCCCTCTGGGGAATCTTTTGAGATCCAGCCAACTTAACGGTTCTGTACATGCAATCAGTGATCTGAATAAATTTAACACAAGCATTAGAGATAAGCAAATCAGTGTTTCAGCTTCACGTTTTTTTTGTTTTGTTTTTTTTTTTCCCTCAAATCTGTAGCTAGCAGGCTGAGTGACTCAAGACTGTGAATTCCCTCACAGTGAGGTCCTCTGCACAGCTGCCACTCGGGTGCATGCAGTGGGGATAGGGGGCCACACAGCACAGATGGAGAGTGGTAGTAGCACATGGGAGGGCTGTGGTTACCAGCAGTAATGCCTGCTCCTGTAGTAGCTGCTGCTGGAGAATCTCTAACTGCCTCTGTTCCTCCTCCAGCTGTCTACGGATATACTCCTGAGCAGCATGTCGGCACAAGGACACAGAAATAGATTGAGAGAGAAAAAATCAGGAAATCTGAGCATCCATACACAGAGAGGGAGAGACAGCAATAGAAAGAGAAATAGAGACGATAATCTCCTGAGGTGGCTGTGAATGAGGAGAGAAGATGAGAGTCAGGAGCCAGATGAGGCGAAGAAGATTCGTATTCTCCAACAATTGTAATGTGTTACAAAGGAAAAATGACAAAGAGACAGAGTGGAAAAAAAGAGGTTCGAGGATATATTTCTAAAACACTTGTAAAGCATGAGAGAACAGCAAGGTGATAAAGAAGGAGCAGGACAGATAAAAAAAACACACACACAGCAGAACAGCAATAAGTTCATGGAGAGGAAAAAAGGAAAGAATTGTTAGAAGAAAGCAGGAAAGATACAGAACAATCAAACTACACACAAGAGGAAAACCAAAAGTACAAAAAGGATCCTAGAAATAGTAACTGGCCTCAGCTTGAGAAACATATAGATCCATGATGATCCATGAATCTAATTTTGCCCCAATACATAGCTAATATTACCAAGTGCATCTCCTGAGTGTCCTCAGGGATCATGAAACATGGCAAACTGACACTAAAAGAACAATAACAATCCTTGAAATATTCATCTATTTCACATTTGGCTCAGCATTTTTAATTTTTTTTGTAATTCAGGGTGTGAGTTTGTTTGCTTTAAACCAAATGATAGAGACACATCTAGATTAAAATGTTAGACTGATACATGGCTGACAGAAGACGGGCCGTAATCAGATAGAAATGGGGAGGCAGTGTTTCAAGAGCCGAAAAGAAAGAAGTGACCTGACAACTCATGGGGATGGGACCATGGGCCGAGATAAATAAAGCATACTGTTGCGTAACTGTATCATCAGATTAAAAATGTCCAAGTTCTGTGCGGCTGAAACTGAAATCCTGAAGAAAAAAAAAAACATGAGAAAAGCGCATCCCTGAGGTAATTTAAGGAGACAAGTTAAAAACAGAGTGACTCAGGAAGCCAGAGGAAGAGACAGAAATCAAAGTAGTTTAAGGGCAAATGAGGGATTTTGGACATGAGTCATCATCGCGGTTGCAGATTTCTGTAGCGTCACACTGCCGGACCACATTATGTGTGTTTTAATAATCGCAAATGCACAAACCTGTTCTCTCTCTGCATGCCTCCTCTCCTCCTCTCTGCGGAGCTGCTCCATTTCCTCGTAGCGCCTCCTCTGCTCCCTCTCGTGCTGCTTCCTCAGCTCACGTTCTCGCTGCTGCTGCTGTCAGAAGAACAGAAGCACAAGAGGATTCAGGACCGCTGCGCACGCTGAGCTGTCTGTTTCAACACAAATTAAGAAATCAAGTCTCAGCAGATCCTCATACAGATGCTGTAACTTTGATATATAATCCTCTGATTATGTTTTTACCTTCCACAACGGGTCTTGCCTTTGATTTTTCTATCAATAATGGAAGGAATTGTAATACAACATGCCACACAAGATATACATATAAAAACATATGCATTCACGCAAAAACACGCGCATTTGCTCCATAACCACTTAAAGGCACACACACTCGGCCCTGAGTGGAGGGGTCATGTTAGTTGAGTCGAGTCATGGTGCTTAGCCGTGCGTTGGGAGGCAAACCCTGGTGGGAACCCAGAGAGAGCGCACAGATTATGGGCTAAGGATTTCCTTCTGTAAGCCTGCTCTCTGGAACTAAGAGAGGGACGCTGGGGAGAGGCTGAACGTGTGTGTGTGTGTATGTGTGTGTGCATGTGTGTGTTTGTGTGTGTCCCTGTACCGCTCTCCCTCTCCCTCTCTCTCTTGTACACCCTCTACCAAATGGTGAATGCAGTGTTTTTTTAAGTTTGAACAGCCAGAACTGGGACAGATAATGTTTGCAAATGGGTCTTAAAGTGTCTCACCGACGACAGCGTGGAGACAGAAAGCTTCCATTGGCATTTGGCGAGAGAAGATACTGAGAGCAGTTGAATTAGATTATAGCTATTTTCAAATTGATCACTGATGATTTTCTGTGACTACTGAATGATCCTATCTGGTGTAATACCAATAGGCAAATTTGTGCTATCCATGCTGCAAAAGTAGTGAATATACTTATGTAAGTTTTTCTATGTAAGCTGCTGTAGATACATGCTTTCACCAAGGTCAGAGGTCATGGTTCATGTCTGCCCAGTAACTTCATCCCGTTTACCTCCTCCAGCCGCCTCCTCTGCTCCTTCTGCTCCTCGATGCGTTTCTGTCTCTCAGCCAACAGCAAGCGCTTGTGCTCCTCGTTCTGCTGCTGCTCCAGCTGCTGCCGCCGCTGCGCCTCCGAGCGCTCCTTATTGGCCAGCTGGAGGCGCAGGAAGTCCCGCCTCAGGGTCGACTCCCCGGGGATGTTGATGATGGAGCTGGGGAGAGAGAGAGAGAGAGAGAGAGAGAGAGAGCCAGCAAGAAGGCGGGATGAGTTTGAGTTAGTGGAGAGATGTGAAATGCGTTGCATGGATTTGTACATTTGTGAGGATACTGACCTCGGTTCACCCATGTCTCTTTCTTCGTCCTCCTCTTCACTGCCACTGTACTCGTACTCTGTCTCATCTGATGGAGGGAGAGAGAGGGAGGAGGGAGACGGAGGGAGAGAAGGAAAGAATTAAAAGGATAAAGCAAAAGTGAGTATGGTAATAACCAAAAGAGAGAGCGCACCCATTCCACTTTACGATTAGCATTTCTCACTTGAACTACCTTTGTTCATTACTAAACTGCTCACGATTTTGGCATTCCCGGATCCTCACTCCTCCAAGGCACTTTCTTTTAGCCGCTTTGAATAAGAGTATAAATTGTAATTTTACTGTGTGTAGCGAGGTGGAGAACATTAGCTCGGAGCTCTTTCATTCAAAACTGGGGCTTTAAAGCATAACGGTTGCAGAAAGCAGCCTGAGACACATCTGCACGGACTTGTCCTCAGAATGTGACAAAGTGACAGCTGGAGCAAGGCACAGTCTCCCCGCCATGACAAGACATTTCTATACATCATCGCGACGCTCAGCCCTGCAGTATGTTGTCTCTTGAAGCGGTTAATGTGGTTCTCGCTGGCACAGTCCCGCGTGCGAGCGTCAGTCTATCACTCAGACGCTCAGAGTGCGCCTCTGTGTGACGTGGTGGAGTGGAATGGAAGTCTGTCACTTTTATTTCGCGCCTCGCTGAAAACCATTAATGCGACGGAACATGTTTGTGAGAATTTGCATCTGTGTGTGTATCTGGAAGTGAACTACACCTCATCCCGCCTTGCAGCTGCATTCGCTTGTGCGATGAGCTTAGTGTTTATGTGTGTATCTGTGAAAGAGCACCTCAGCCGCACACTGAGTGTAATGCAGATATTTTTGTGAAATCAGGTTTTTGATGCCATTTATGACCTGCAGTCGTTAAGCAGAAGTTATGCAATGTATTTAGATTCTGTAATTACCTTTCTTTATGTATCAGTTCTCATTGTTAGTGGCAGTCTGCTCTTCGTGTGTGGGATTCAAATTGCCTTCACATGCATGATGGATTTACAGGAAACAAAACGTGTATGTAATTAAACATAATGGTTTTTAATTCCATCTCAATCATATCACCCACACGGTTTACTCACTGACAGCCATATCAGATGTGTGTTAAATTATTGCTACTGCAAACAAAACTTTTTTTTTTTACTGCTGCTGGTTCACACTGTTCACACAACTGGCGAGATGGTGTGGTTTTCACAGTAAAACAGTCACACATTGATCCTTCGTCAAACATGCAACGTACAAAACAAGACAATGGTTCATTTTTGGCATTTAGATAAGTTTTAAATATTGCCAGGTGTAATGAAACAAGACGGATCCGCCACAGTGAGTTGTTAAGATGAAAAATTGCAGGTGACAGACTGCAAGCCCCCAAATTTCTTGCAAGGTAAGTTTTTGTGTGGAAAAATACTCGCCACTCATGGCATGAATTCAAATCGCAGTTGCAAATGACATAATGCAAACAGTCAGTTATTGAGTAACTTTCTATTGTGTTCATGCCAAAGTAGTTGCTCAAGTGTTCATTGTATTCATGAATCATTGTTATTAGCAGTAAGCATGGGTGTTGCCAAATAAAAACAGGTTCATGGATTATAACTTTTACTGAAGATAATTTGGCGCCTGTTGGTTAGTTATAGAAGTTTAGTGTCACATAATATAAAGAAAAATATGATACAACTTTGTGATGTAAAAAATTATCACTGCAATCACTGTATACAGAGATGAAACTCCTTTTAATGTCACACAAATCTCCTGCAAACTGCCATCTGTGAAGCGTAACTACTTTAGGAAAACTATTGCTCCACCTGCCATGTTTGTAAATCTTTATGTCCACGTGTTCTCCCCCACTCACCCCTCTCTCCCCTCTTCTTCTTGGTGCGGTCGATGTGGTCCTTCAGCTGGATGCGGACCTGCCTCTCGTTGGGCAGGTCTCTGATGAACGGGTGTTTGAGCAGCTGCTCTGTGCTGGGTCTCTGGCTGTGGCTCTTCACCAGACAGCTCTCTATGAACGACTGGAACTTCTTCGACCTGCAGACACACAGATGAAAAACCCTCTGTAATTGTGCCATGGTGTGGATGACAAATAGAAGAGCGTTTTTTTGTAACTTCATGTGATGATACTTTTTCTTGTATGGACACTTACCATAAACTACACTCAAACGATCAGTAGCATTACTTCCAATATACTGTATATCTGGACTAATTTCCCTGCTTTTGATAACGTTGCTCTAAACTGTCAAACATGCAACACAGTTATCAAGATGCACACTCACCACTTCTTCGACTTGAGTCGGGGGGCAGGGTTGCGTGGGATGAGGAAGAGGGCTCTCATCGGGTGCATGTCACACAGCGCTGAAGAGTCAGATATCACAGTTACCAAACAAACGGGTAGGTTTGGCGCTAGGGTTGTGAATGTTTCTGGCTTAATTGTACTAAACATTATCATGGCATATAGTCAAAGCCAGCTGGAGTTAGCGCTCGCTTGATCAATACATGCTGTCGATACCGATAACAATCCATTGGTTTTACACACACACACACACACATACACGCACACTTGGGTCTGGTCTTCTTCTAGGACGCATAAGATGGTTAGCCATCTCGCAAATGGTGCATGTGCTGCAGTGTCATTTGGTCATTTGGGGTATTTAATATTCAAACTTCACGATGTCAAACCTAGCCAGAGGTTAACTGGTGTTCGGATAAAAATGAAAACAAAAAGAAATAAATGTTTTGAATGGATCCTTTCCTGACTTCTGGTTTTTACCAATATAAAGTGTTTCCTGAGAATGCAGCACTATACCTTCCTAGACTAGAACTAGAAGTGAACAACCTTGACCAAACAAACTAATGTCCTTTGTGATTAACGTGATCAATTACCCGCTGTAGCTTGGGCAGACTTTCACCAGGAAATTGTTTTTAACTTTACTTGGAGGGAAGAAACAACAACTAATCATGCAGACTGTGTGCGAGCACCTTGAGGAATAAGATTATGAATAGAGGAAAGAGGAAACACTGTTGTTATCGTCTAAGGATTTTGGGCAGCAGCCCAGCAACCTGACAACCAATTTTACACCCCCTCCTTGGCCTTCATTAAAATTATGTCCTCAGATGAGTTGCATTGACCTGGATTGAAACATTATCTGACTCGCGATCACAGTGATCTACTGTGCGAACACTAAGAAATGATGTGTAGCAGGGGTGTGGCTTATTGACTGGGTACGTACGTGGTGCTCCCTCAGCCATCTCTATTGCTGTGATTCCCAGTGACCATAAATCACTCTGCAATGAAAAAGAGACAGCGCATAAATACTCAAGATGATAAAAAATAAAAAGAGAGAGAGACGGACATCTTCAGAGGAAAGGAGGCTGTTGAAGCACCTTGAAGTCGTATGTGGCGTCGGGGTTCTCATCACAAGCGATGACCTCTGGTGCCATCCAATATGGTGTCCCAATAAACGTGTTTCTCCTTCCTACTGTCCTGTCCAACTGGGCCGAAACACCAAAGTCCACTGCAGGGAAAACACACAAACACACACAAACACACAAAAGTTTGGGTTATAATACGCAGCTTACTTTAATGCATGGTCCTGTCTTCACTGTGTGTGTTCATTTGTGTGTGTGCTGATGCACAAGTGAATACCATAATGGACTCTACACAGGAACAAATTACCCAACCTGCAATAGCTTGCCCGATTTACAAACACACACACACACACTTTATAATCCCCTCCCCACTGGGCTTCAGGGGGAGAGCGAGACACAGAGAGAGAAAGAGAGAGAGAGAGTCCCTTCTTCAGCAGTCTGCACCATGAACAGTGGCAGAGCTACAGAGAGATGAGTAGGCTGGTATTCAGCATAAAAGAAGAAAGAGCAACCTCACACACACACACACACTCACACGGAAACACACTCACACAAACACACCAATGCACACAGCTCGGAGCCATCTGAAACTTTATACCTCCTACTGTTCTCCCAATCCTAAAGCCGTTTTTATCATGCGGGGTTGGATGACAGACTGACCTAGTTTGACCTCTGCGTTCTCAGTCAGCAGGACATTCTGTCCCTTGATGTCTCGGTGGATGACCTTGTGCTGATGGAGATGAGTCAGACCCTGCAGACAGCGACAGAGACGCATCGTGAAGGAACACCACTGCAGCAATGAGCCAAGTCATGATCATTATTATTATTACTACTATTACATAAAGAGCTCATTTCCTAAAGTAAGCGTCCTTGTGTCAGACCGGCAGCTCGAGGGGTAGCTGACCTTGACCTCTGACCTCCCTCTGCAGGCCTGGTTAGCAAAAGGAGTAATAAAAAGGAGGAAGTACTATCATACTGTAGGTCTTAGCAGCAGTTTTACCTTCTGTACAAGTAGGTGTTGCCTGTCCGAAACCGCTTTATAATTTTTTCAGGTCACTCAACTAACTAATTATTTAAAATAGAGAAAGAATAAACATTTAAAATTGTGTTGTCTTTATCTTTCAAATACAATTTGGAAATTAATTGCATGAGATTTTCCTTCTTGCTAGCGTAATTAAATTTGTGCACATGTGAAAGCTTTTTGGTTTGTAGCCCTGCAAAACAAAGCAAAGTTTTCAGGTTCTGAAGCTTTGACAGTTTAATAATAATTTTTTTTAGTGAAGCCTCTTGTATTGACTGTAAAGCAGTTGAAATAACAAGTAAAACACAGACACATGAGACAGTCCGGAGACAGGGAGGGAAGAGGGGAGGAGATAAAAGAGGAAGCAAATGGCAGTAAAGACATTAAAAACAGAGTAAAAGAAAGACAAATGGGACAAAGAGACACATAATGTAAATAGAAAATAATGTAGGCAGATAGACAGAGAGAAAAGAGGAGAAGACTAAATCAGAGCAGGGGGAGAGAGAAAGCAGAGAGCAGGAAATAAGACGAGAGATGAGCGGTGAAAAAAAAAAGAAATAAAAGTATATGAAAGGAAATCATTGTTGCCACAGCTCGGAGCAGCACTGCGTATAACTGACAAGATGCAGTGATACTGCTGCGCTCTGTTTGAGGATATAGCCTTCAGCACACAAAACGCACAATAAGAGATAGTGGAGATAAGATGAGGGAGAATTCCCAGGAAGAGCCAATTCATGTCCGTACATCAGGACAAAACACAGGCGGCATGGAGCGCAAACAAGTGGCGATCGCTATCAAAGAGCAGGTCTGTGTCACTTCTGAAACGCTGAGATGAGCTGAGAAGACTGCGTACAGACAATGTAGGGTTACTACATTAAACGAGAATAAAATGAAACATCAAGTTAAATCAGTTTTTAAAAAATAATGCAGAGAAGAGTAAAGGTTTGTCACCAAGGATTTAAGGGTGTTACTATCCTTTACAAACGGATTATTTATATAGTAATTATAATTTGTTAAAATGCTTTCAAAGATATATCTGACAAACAACAAGCCCTGGAGATCAGGGAAATGCTTCTTCAAAACCGCCCCTCACCCTATTTTCTCAGTAGCTCAGCAGCAGTAGCTAGTAGCCATTAGTTCACGTTGGACAGGGGACATTTCAAACGCCAAAGAGACAGACAAATAGCAGTTAATCAGTCCATAGACCCAGAAACTCGTTTTTCTATTCCTCATAAAGTGAACTGTGTCTTGCCATGAAACTGCCTCTGGCTTGCATGCAACGTTGATTATTAAACCTGTTTAATCCTTGTTGGCTGTCAATGCAGTGAATTAAAATAAAATGATTGAGATTTTGTGGTTGGTGCTGTTTTCTGTGGAACTTCTGCATTAGTCGGTGAGGTTGAAGTATCGTGCACCTGCGCTAGAACAAGGAAGTAGTTTGGGCATCGCCTAATGATGTGTTTTTGTGTGAACAGCAGTCGTGAATCATCATAACATGTTCACAACAGTCTCATTAAGTTCAAGGTTGGACTTGCCAACATGGAAACTTACCCTGAGAATCTCTCTGCAGATGTAAGCGGTCCACTCCTCTTTCAGAGAATTGCCCTTTGTGTTCTTGATCAAGTCCGTCACTGAGCCGGCTCCACAGAACTCCATGACAAGCTGCACACACAGAAGGCTGATTATTGGCTACTCTGAAACAAGAAGCATTCTGGTCTAGCATCTATGTTTGACTTGAGAATGTTCTGTTGATTGACTAATCAATTCATTGATTGATGGTTACAACTTGGTTTTAAACTGTAAAATATCTTTCCTGAGGCATATCTTTATCATAAAAAAAGTATTGGCTGATATATAGTTTTTACATTTATATTATTCCCAAAGTACTGATATTGTTATTGGCCCCAAAAATCTGGTATCGATCGGGCTCTACATAGTGCCATCTTTTGGATGTGTTCATTTTTATTGACCTATAGGTTACAGAATAAAAAGTTCTCTCTTAAAACATAATTCACATCATAAAGAAAATACACAGAATCCATAATCACATTAACTGTAATAGTTACAGACAATCTTTCCAAACACACTGTCCACAGAGACCACAAAACTGCTGGCATGAACTGACTCAACAGGGTCACGAGATCTCATGAATGAATCAAGTCGGTTCCTTGACGCAAACACAATATGTCCTTGCTGTCCCTCTCCTCTCCTCTCCTCCCCTCTCCTCTTTCATCCTCTCCCAGCATTACATCCATGGAGGTTTGCGGCCAAAAGTTCAGCTGGTCAGCTCTGGCTCAGCTTCAAGCTCCCCTCATCATCACTCTGGATTACAGAGAGAGAAGGAAGTTGGCGGGTAACAGCCAAACCCCTCTCTGTCGGGCTGCCGCACGAGTATTCAGACACGCGAAGACAAAAGAGGCACACTCACATTCAGTATGCATAAACACAGGGAGGACAAATGTAAAAGCACTCTAACATAAAGCTCTTGCTAACGAACACGCTAACAGGCAACTGGTGAGTCAGGTGGAATTATGTAGGCAGTAGATCTGGCTACTGTGTGTATATGCATATGTTTGTGTGCATGTGTGTGTGTGTGTGTGTGTGTGTGTGTGTGTCCTCCCATTGTCGTGTGATGAATGCAACAGGATCAGAGAAGAGAGAGCTCCCTTAGATCACGTTAACGCATGATTTATTGCAGCAACCAGCAAGCCACACGCTCATTCATATCCTCTATATCTTTTACACTTATACATACACACACACACACTCACTCACACACACACACACACACACACACACACACACACACACACACACACACACACACACACACACACACGTTAAGTATATATAGATATTTCAGTGCACACAAATGTAGAGTCACTGCTTGCATGAGCAAACTACACACTCGCTTCTTTCACATAAATGTAACAGTGAAAAATTGAAAGTCACTTCTTTCTGTTCTGCTGAGTTTTTTCCAACAGACTACATCCATCTTCTCTTCCTGTCATACACACAAAAACACAGACAAAAAAAAAAAATAACACACACACAATAATGATGCCTACCCATAGCTGGTCATCTATGCCAGGAGGGTTTTTCTTGATGAACGCTCCATAGTAGGTGGCGATGTTCCGATGGTGACTGTACTTCTTCAGCATGTTAATTTCCGCTTTAATCTCCTCTTCCTCATCCTGATGGACACGAGAAGAGACAACAGATGTTAAAGCATGACCTCTATTGGTGACCCCTCAGACATCTGTAATAGCATGGTGGTAGGGTGAAAGAGGTCAATTTGTTGATGAATTAGCATGTTGAATCCATTTAAATTCCGAAATACATGTCTTTATTTATTTTATTTTTTTTCGGCAAAGCACACAACTGGGCTCTAAATTATCCACAATAACAGCATGACTTTTTAATTACTTTCATTTTAAAGGGTTAGCGCCACAAAGCCAAAAGCAGTAGCCTGAAACAAGTTGTTATGGTGGCAGTTGGTTTACTTAAAAATGTAATTTCTTATTCATTATGCGGAACGTCAGGAAATTATGCCTCGATTACTCCAATTTAGTGCTCATTGGTGAGGAAAACAAAGACACTTGTTTTAAAAAAAAGCTGATTTTGTACAGTAGCAGCTCATTTCGTTAGCGATTATGTGTTTGGCCTTCATTTCATTTTCGATCATTAATTAACACCGCCATTCATTTTTATTGTATTTAGGCAGATTTATTCAAACTTAAGTAATTTATACACAGTTTGATTTACTTCATTTGCTCGGAAGTTCATTTCAATACACATCTCTCCATATGTTAATTTCCTTACTCATTCATTCATTCGTGCTCCTATTCATTCATTCATCCATTCATGAGTTCCTTTGTTGCTTCATTCCTGCAGACCTTCATTGTGTTGCTGGCAGCTGAGTGCTGACAGAGAGGCGTATGGTGAGAGGATGTCTAAATATAGCTGAGATTCCCTCCTGCTTTACAGACACACCTGAGACCACACTGCTGTCCTAATACCTCCAACTAATATTACCAAGGCAATGGGCCTGTCCTCATTTCCTCTCTACCACATCACATACACACACACACACACACACACACACGCATGGGCGCACGCACATACACACACACACACTCCAACACTGACTCATCGCTCATAATTAGATGACATGGTCGGTGATGGTATAATCACTTGAGATGATTTTCTGTGCGTGGGTATGTGTGTGTGTGTGTGTGTGTGTGTGTGTGTGTGTGTGTGTGTGTGTGTGAGAGTGAGTGCCACAGAGTGCGCGTATGTGTGTTCCTTACCCCGGTGACATCCATGACCTTGATGGCTGCCAGCTGCCCCGTCTTAACATGGCGACCCTGGTGGAAGGCGGAAAAGAGAGGGACAGACAGAGAGACAGGAGGAAACATGTCAGTGTCCGAAGTTTACAGTTCTCTCAAGAAAATGTAGCACAACTAAACAACTGTGAATCATTCTCTTTTAGTCAAACTTTACGCTCCATTCAAAAACATATAATAAACAGACTAGTCAGTGGCAAATATAATATGTCACATGACTTTTTGTTAGACTTATTAGATGCTTGACAGTGACAGAAAATGAGGGCGGTTCATGGTCGGTGTCTTAAACCTGTAGGCCATCAGGGTTCAAGTCATCAAGGTTTGTTTACACCATTAACATTTTAAAGAGCAGGAATCCTTCTGGAAGCAGATATAATCATCTTGTTTCTGCTGCTCCCAAGTGACTAAAAAAATCAGCTATCGCAGGTTAAAGTCAAACTTTCCAGTTATGCGCCGTATGTGGACAAACGTCACTTTCATGTGGTCAGAAGTGATGGCTTGCAGGGTTGTGGTAGCTCACAGCTGAGAGCAACAGGAATTATAGTGTCCCTGACAATATTCAAGTCGAGGAAATGACAGTATTCGCACCAGACTGCTAGGTGAAAAGGACACCCCAGTCTGTCACTGCAATCTGACTCGTTGTCCAGTCAGTATAAATCTGAAAAACGGCGGCTTGCACTTCGGTAAAAACGTATTTGACTTGGGTTTGAGATAACAGACAAGAGATAGAGGGGACACACAGATACCGATCCACAGACCCGCCTGTGTTGTGTAATATTGAGGCTAGGCAGATGCCTGGGGGAGCTAGGAGGCGAGGAACCAGGAGACTGGAAGCTGAGGGGCAAATGGAAGGCCCAAGTGGTTTGTTTGCAACAGAGCATCTGTGGCTGTGATTAGCTAATGAAGCTAACTGGGCCGGAGACGCTAAAACCACTGACGGCTATCACTTCCACCTGTCTGGACTCAACTGATTAGCATGTTACAGTCTGAGCAGAACAGCTTAGCAGCAGTGGCACAAACAAGCAAACAAACAAACACATACACACATACACAGGCAACCGCACACATACACAAACACACCAAACAAGGGGCCGGACTGTTTTTGTGGTGGAATTGTTGTGAACCAGATGGCATTAAGGGTCTGGCTCTAAAGCACCTCCTGAGGGCTTTAATCGAAGGGCCGTCCTGATAAAGAGCGTTCCAGCCAAAGCAGAAGCGAGGAATCAGAACAGAGCCATGTTATGGCTGAAACTCGGTGCTTTCATTGCTTTGCAATTCATTTGCAGGAGTGAATTTACAGTAACAGGATAGTCTCTGCACCCTGCCACTGGTCATTAGTCATTCTCACTGCTTCACATTCTATTTTTATGCCGTTTTAACAGATCAATTGTACCCACAGGCTCGCCAAAACCCGCTTCACTTGATGAATAGCTTGTGAGTAGTTGGGGGTTATGTTATTAACTGTGAAATAATGTAGGCAACTCAATAGTTTACTTGCTCCTTCACACTCTCCACTGAGGACAAAAAGTGATGTTTTTACTCATTAGGTCCCCTGGTGTTTAGACTGGGGGTCAAAAATTACTGACTGATTAAATAAAGAAAAAAACAATATTACAAGTAAATAAACTGCTCCACTTGTTTAATATGCATTAAAAGTCACCACAGTTTTTTTTAATTTAAGGAAGAAATCATGTTGTTGAGTTGTGAGTAGGAATAAAACTCTAGCTCACAATAGGCCTGCCAATTGGTGGGTTCCCATAAGATGACTGGCAATACATTAACATCAGCGGAGGTCCCAGAATGAGGGGAATGTATAGTCATGAGTTAAACTTCTCATTAAACACCTCCTCCGGGATTAAAAAACTTTTTAAACCTTTTAAACTTGCTGATTTATTGCTAAAAAGAAAGTTAGGGTTTTTAATATGATAATTCACTGTGTCACAATCCAGCACCACACAATGCAAACTAAGCACCACTGGATGGTTGAAGACTATGATCATTCTCTTTTTCTCTCTCTCTCTCACACACACACACACACACACACACACACACACACACACACACATACACACACACACACACACTCACAAACACAAGAGTCTAGATTCTGTGAGAGTAAAAGAGCTGGAAAGATTGAACAGGGATTTCTCATTAGGATCAGACTGCCCCAATTCCACGAGCACAAGGACTGGCTTTGTTGGAGACCAACAAAGGAATTACAGCCACTTACCAACCAGAAACTAAGACACACACACACACACACTTACAGACACACACACAAAACACAAAAAGATATCCCCTTTTTTTCCACTACTCGCACGGACAGAAGAACTCTTACAAACACCCACACATGTGCACACAGAGACATGGAGAGGGAGGGAGAGAGAATGATTGAGGGAGTTCGAGAGTGACTAAGAGAGCGAGAGAGAGAATGTGTCAAATAGATATTGGACATGGATATCATCAGAGCTGGATAAGGATTCATTACTCTGAGCCACCTGACAACCTCCCTCCCTCCATATCTCCCTCCCTGCTGGAGCAGTAATATCATCCAGCCTTATTAAATGACCAAGTGTGAAAGGAGCAACAGAAAGGAATTAGCACTGTCTCTTCATCTTTCGCGCTTTCTTTGTCCTCTCCCTGTTCATTTGTTTTCAGATTCATAGACAATGGAAAGAGGTGGGCATCGGTTATATGAATGTCAACTAAAATAGTATTTCCAAAGCAGTGAACAGGATAATGTGTTTAACAATGATATCAAAACAATGAATCCATCAATTAAATGTTTCATCAACAACAACAATTTATCAAGCTAAAATGACTTTCCTGGCTTTTCTTGTCATTGTAAGTTGAATTAATTTGGGGTTTGGACTGTTGGTCACACAAAACAAGCAACTGCTTTTAGCAAATGGTTAAAAAAAAAAAGACAAAACACTTAGGCTACTTGCTCTCCTGCTGAGAAGTTGTTGAGAAGATTGATACTACTCTCATGCTCGTGCATTAAGTATGGAGCTAGAACCAAGATGCTGTTAGCTTAGTTTAGTTTAGCTTAGCTAAACTTAGCTTAGCTTATTTTATCTTAGTTTATTTTAGCATAAGCTGGGGTAAGCAGCTAGCCTTTGCTTTCTCCATGGTTCAAAACTATTCCAAATGTAAAAACAATAGATATAGATATAGTATGGTTTTAAATTAATTTCCTGACCAACAACAGATTATCTGTCCACAATAGTAGCATGTAGCTCCAAACAAAACCATAAGTTATTGCTTTTTATATTTCTGTTTGTGCACAGATTATACAAGAGATATAATATTTAATATTTAATTAGTGAGCCTTATACATGCTGGTAGCCGTTGGACAAACCCAGCTTAGTTAGCTAGCCATTTCTCCTAGCGACCAGTCTTTAGTTTAAGATAAGCTAGCTAAGCTAAACAGATGCTAATTCCAGCTCCTTTCTTAAGAATGGTGTCTATTTTCTCATGTTTAACTATTCTCTTAATTAAAAATGAAAACAATTATTAGCTTTAACCCTAAAAATGATAAATAATGGAAAAAGAAGATTTCACAGTGTTGTCCTTCCCTCTCTGTCTTTCTCGTAGGGATGGCCCACTCTCTCCCTGATCTGTCCCATTCAGAACGAGCATGTTTGAGCCTCACAGGCCTGTTCATCCCTTCCTCCACTCGTTTGTTGACTGCTTTGCCTCTCTGACCTAGATCTGCAGTTTCTCACTCTCTCCCTCTGCCTCTTTCTCTCTCTCTCTCGCTCTCTCTCGTTCTCTCTTATCCCTCTGATTCTCTCTCACTATCTAACCCTCTTAACTTCACACAATCTACTCTGTATGCCTTTCATTATTTTCTCCCTTCCTCCCTCTAAATGTCTCGCTCACTTTCCCCTCTCCCTGTCCCTTGTATTCTCTTTCTCCGTCTCTCTCATGCCTCGCAGCTCAGACCAGTGGCCTGTGAAAAACGGGTCCTACATGAACATGACTGAGCTGAACACTAATGCCAGTGAAACAGTGTTCAGCTTTGAGCTTGACAAGCAAATATGACACAAACCGTGGACTTCCTGCAACCCATTCACTTTGCCTCTGCTAATGCATCTCGCACCTTCTGTGAACCGCAATGCACTGACGCGGGCCTGAGTGCCTCCACAAAGCAAAGCAAACACATATATATATTCTTCTGCACACAAAAGCTTTCATCTAATACCTCCCAGCTGTGATTATACTGAGTATGCTGTGCATTAACTTCAATCATCACAGTGACATTTCAAATGAGGTCTAGGAAATCATGTGTCCAATCCACCATATTTTTTTCCCTCCTTAATCCTGTAGAGGTATTTTTGACCAAATATGATAGCAAAACATCTGTCACTCACACACACACACACAAAGAGCCGCGTTGCTGCCTGACCAGGTGTGTTTGAGCGATAACAGACCAAATTGACTATGTTTGCTCCGCTTGAATGGCCGTGCTGTGATGGAGGCAGCAAAACTGATACCAAACTGATCTCCAATCAGCCTTCAGGCAGCCATATCACGGAGGAGTCATTACTCGGCGTCCTCCCTGCAGGTCAGTGTTTTCTTAAACTGCTGGACGAGTCGGGAATTCAAAATGGACTGGAGGTTCCACCCAAATAAAATAAGAGTATGCTTTCATAAACCAAGGTCATTTGTAGCATTAATGTATAAATAAATAATAATATCTGCTGTATATTTGTGAGGAGAATAGGATGCGTGGTTATTGTGTTAATGGTTATTGTCTCATTAATAAACTAAAAGATAATAGATTATCAACTCCTCTCCCTCCGCTTGTTTGGTTGTTTATTTGTCCTTTTATTGTGTGTGATGTTTCTGAGACTGCTGATTAGATTGTAAATAAATCAGGGGTTTACTCTGTTTACAAATCAAACATCTCAAACAGATCTTATTTAATGCAGTTAAACAAAAAAGCTTTGGAATAACTAACATGTTTATAAAGTCTAAAACTTTTCTAAGACTGAGCAGGTAAGGGCTTCTTATTC